TTTAAAAAAAAAAAGTGAAATGCTATGCAAATATAATATGGCATTATTGTTAAAAGTACTAATCATTAGTACTTTCAAAGAAATAAACTTAATGTGTTATTCAGACTCATCTATGGAATTATACAGTCCTGACATTCTATTTCTTTATTATTAATTTCCGTACATTGATGTTCAAGTCATTTCAAGAAAGAAATAGGATATGCATAAAGTCTTAAAATATAAAAAACCAAAGTTAGCAGAAATCTCTAAATAATTTACATATAAAAAAAATACTAGAAACATTCCCGTATCAGACCACGCGCATAAAACACTCTTACCTCGTCATCCGAGTAGCTGTAGGCAGACGCTACGGCTACCCACATCTTACTGGCTACTGTTGCCGCTTGTTTCATACCAGATTTCAGGACCTCTATCTTGGGCCCTGAGAGTATATGATCTAGCTTTAGCCCTGACAAAGAATTTACCACAGAACCCAATGAGCCATGTGGTGAAGAGCGCACCAGTGCCGATAAAGTCGAGCGTTCTTTAGGACTACGAGAGGGAGTCTGCTGCTTGAAACGCCCGGCGAAAGTTTTAGAGCTGGCTTCTGCAGGGGAGCTCTTTTCACTTTCGGGATCTTCCTGTGCTGCTGGACCATGCTCTAAAGGTAGGCTTGCGCTCCTCTCCAAAGGGTGAGTAAAGGCACTGGTCGGGCCAGACTCTCTGCTTCCCTCTCCGTGTAATTCCATACTGGAAGACTTGCTACCCAGGGGGCTCTTTAGGTTCATATAGCTTTCGATTTCATCAGCCAGATTACGGGCAATAACTGGAGAAGACACCTTATCTTCAGGATCTGCAGTTTTTTCTCCTGTACATTCAGTGGCTAAAAGAGACAAAGGATCTAGTCCAGTTTCAACATCCTCCCTCTCAACAGCTTTAACGACACCATATAAACTACTTCTCTTATTTATTAGATCTCTGGATCCTACTTTCAGGTCTCTGTTACCATCACTTTGTAGACTGTCACATGCATCCTTTTCCATAGGAGTTTGAGCTACACTGTCATCAACCACAGGTTCCAGGAGCTCTTGGCTTTCCTCAAGCATCTCTAACACCGGAGAAGATCTGTGCTCTGAATCCCAAGTGCTCTCAGACACACGAGTCCTAGCATCAACTAGATGACAACTAACACTCTCAAAGCTATGGGTGCTTGCAACTCGGAGTTGAGAGGTCTTAGGACAGGTCAGTGCTGCTGTGAGAATCTTGGCATCCGCTCCCATCATAATAGCCACTTCACTCGAATTCAAATCCAAGCTGCTCTTCTTGAGCAACATTCCTGCTCGACTTTCGGAACTGAAACTACAACTCCTCTCTGGAAAATGCTTTTGTCTTTTATCTCCTCTATCACTATTCTTCTTGAGATTAGTAACTTCACCAAAGACTGCATCTTCAGCTGGATCTTGAGTAGCAAATGGCACGTTTGCTGTACTACCTAAAGGAAAAGTACAGTATTAGAAATGAAACTCTATTTTCTGATATAACATCTAGAAAAATGTCTCTTTTCTGATTTTTGAAAAGGAATACATACTCAGAGTAAAAGATTCAGAGTTTATTTTTTTAAAAGATTTTATTTATTTGAGAGAGAGAATGAGTAGAGAGAGAGAGCATGAGACGGGGGAGGGTCAGGAGGGAGAAGCAGACTCCCTGCTATGCAGGGAGCCCGATGCTGGACTCGATCCTGGGACTCCAGAATCATGACCTGAGCCAAAAGCAGTCACTTAACCAACTGAGCCACCCAGGTGCCCCAAGATTCAGAGTTTAGAAGGTACAAAGAAAGTATACAGGAAAAAGAACCAGCAAAAAACCTCCATTCAATCCTGCCTCCCAGAGGTAACACTGTAATGTATAACCTGCCTTTCACCCTCTACACATACACAATTTACAAATCATGCAATATATGCTGCAGATGCCTGTACTGTTCACTAAAATTTATCACATTTATCAAATATAGATCTATAAATACATCTTACAGTTGAAAAGTTCTACATTCAATTTAAGAAATATATTTTGTGTTAAATAACTGACCTAAAAAGTTTACAAAATCTCTTCCCTTCTGGCTTTCATATATCTAATTCAACAAATATTTGCCAGGAATCTACTCTGCACAAAGTAAATTCATAATCATGGAGGAATTATATATTTGCTAAAACCGAAGCCTTACTGCTCCAAAGTAAAATAATTCTCCAAAGTAAAAGAATCTAGAATGGAGTCCTTAGACTTGGCAAATCCCAAGAAGGCTGAAAAAATCTGAATAGCTCCAAACTTTTCAGATATATTCATTCCTTCAACAAATACTCGAATGTCTACTAGCAGTCACCATATAAGGTGCTAGGAATATAACAGACATGATCCCAGATCTCTCACCGAGTTCAGTCCTGTTTGATCAAGTGGAACAAAATTATGCCAGTAGTTGTAGGGGGAAGTAGTTTTTTTTTTTGTTTTTTTTTTTTAGGGTTTTTGTTTATTTGTTTATTTAGTTTTTATTTAAATTCCAGTTAGTTAACATACAGTGTAATATTAGTTTCAGGCATAGAATTTAGTGATTCATCACTTACATACAACGCCTGGTGCTCATCACAACAAGCAAGCAGTCTTTTACTCCTTGCTACTATGCAATTTTTTCCCATTCCAAGACCAAAAGCTATTTCCTATTTGAATCATTATCAGAACTTAAGTCTACCCATTCCTATTTAGGATTCTCATTTGTTTTTTAAAAGGCATAATGACCTAGGAGATTTGAGGGAAAAGCTGTCTTTAATAAAGTCTTTTTATCTTCCAAATTAATTTCAAGGTTCTTTTTAAGCTTCCAAATTGGTACCAAATAATAATCATAATCACACCAATTAAACAGAATAAGCACTTAAGATATATTTCACAGCTTTTAGAACAATTAAATTAGCCTATTTTACAACTCCAAAATTTGTGCCTGCTTTGCAAACTTTTACCAGTATTTGAGAAACAGATCTTAGCAAATTTACTGGTTCTCAGAGTATTTCCAGGAATTTAGTGGCACATTTTTTTTCAATTTTAAAACAAATCTGACCCTTTGATATATTGGCAGAAGCCCCACTACTACCTCTTCCTTTCTTATTAGAATAAATCTTCCCACATCAAGACATAACATGGACACACAATGAGTAAAGAGGGAAGGAAACACACCAGACCCCAGATCTTGTCCATGTCAATATTCTGAGAAGATTACAAACCTTTGATGAAGAAAACTCTGCCCTCCTCCTTTTTCTTTTTTAAACCTGCTAGCAACAGGTTGTGAAAATAGGATACAGAACATATATATCAATTATTTTTCCAAAAACCTTTTCCTCCAACCTCTTGAATACTACCTGCTCCCCAAAACAAACAAACAAACAAACTGAATTTGGTATCAGTAAATTTTAAAAGAAGGAGAGAGTTTTGGAATAAGGAGTATTCCTACATGGATTTAAGAAGCTGATCAAATTAATTTCTATAAGTCATACCACAGATACACTTAAGACAGTGGCCTTTAGAGAAGTGAATTATAGCTACTACTAAAAAAGGGCAAAAGACACAGGCCAATCTCTTTGTCCTTTGAAATCACAGACTTAGGTGCATGTCTGAAAGGTACTTGGGAGGCCTAAAACACAACTGAAAGGAGTAAACTCAAATTCAAGGGAGTGACACACAGAGGAGTTATTCATTACAAATATTTAATCACAAATAAGTGGCTCAGGGTGCCTATAAAAACTGGCCAAATTAAAGACGCACTGGCATTTTTCTGCAGTACAGCATAGTGGTATGAATCTTTTCCTTCCACTGCCTTTCCATTGCCACACAAAAGCCCCCCTGGAATTCAGTAACATCAGTGCCTCTCTGTCCTTCAGGAGTATGGGAGGCCCTCTCTCATTATCTACCCTGAGACAGAGGGACAAAACGGAGAAGAGTCACTACAACAAACAAAGGTACTCCCAGTAACAATCAAGCCCAATAAACACCCCTCCATTTGAAACACCAAATATGTTAAATAACAACTTCTTTTTTTTTTTAAGATTTTATTTATTTATTTCAGAGAGAGAGAGAGAGAGTGAGAAAGAGTGCACACGAGAGGGGGGAGGGTCAGAGGGAGAAGCAGGCTCCCCATGGAGCAGGGAGACCGATGTGGGACTCCATCCCAGGACCCTGAGATCATGACCTGAGCCAAAGGCAGACACTTAACCCACTGAGCCACCCAGGCGCCCTTAAATAACAACTTCTTAACCCACGTATAGGATTCAAACTTCTGGCTCTTTAGCATGTTCATCACAGTTAAGTCATCAATTTAATGTCATTAAAAACTATTTTAACTTGGGCGCCTGGGTGGCTCAGTCATCAAGTAGGAGCCTGCTTCTCCCTCTCCCACTCCCCCTGCTTGTGTTCCCTCTCTCTGTCGAAAAATCAATAAAATCTTTAAATAAATAAATACAAACAAACAATTTTAACCATTTAGCCATCAGTATGTGAAGACCCACCTGTGCTGCTGCTCCTGCCGAGGTCAAACACCCCAGATGGAACTTTCACAATACTGCTGCCCCATGCGGGGGGCTCAGTAGGACTCTGGGGCTCGGCACTAGGTTGTGAATGTTTTGCCACAACAGCAGAGACATCACACACCTCTGAGGAAAAAATATTTGGATGTTATTCCTACTTTTACTAAAATTGAACAGAAACCATATATTGATTTTTATACTTTTTAAAATACTTTTTCCCCAAGTGGGAGTGAACACATGACTATTTTATTACTAATTTATTGTGTCTCATTTACTTTATGCCATAAATGTTGCCAGTATTGACGGAAATAAATGCTTCATTTTAGCATCAATAATCCTGACTTGAGCATTCCTGAGAATAAATTAAAGGTTTTGGCCTCCAGTTATACTCCCATCACTTATAAAGTAGGAGAGAGGCTTGCTTCTGCTAACTCTGGAGCATAAATTGACATCATTAAAGAAAAGTGTACTTTTGTGTAAAAGGATAGGAAGAACACCTTATTACCATAAAGCCGGAATATTCCTCCACATTTCCATAAAATGATTACTATAAATCATATCTACCTCAATGAGTCCCATTAAAAAAAAAAAACCCACAGGAAAACCACAGACACTATATCTAATCTACCAATGAAAAATACCTACTTAGATATTTGAAGGACTTCTAGTGAAAGAGCATTTTAAAATAAAACAAGCACTGGAACACAAGTTTGATGACTCAAAGTTTAGTCCTGGTTCTATCACAAAATAGCTCTTTGCTTTTAGCAAATGAATACCTCAGTGAATTGCAGTGTCCTACAAAATTGAGGGCTGACCTCTCCTCTCTAAAGATCTCTTACCTTCTAAAATTCAGAAACTACTCATTTTCTCCATATATCACATTATATAGTATCTTATAAGCCCAGACCTTACATTTCTTCCTAGAAATTATCATCAGAATTACCAAATCAGACTTAATCAGTACAGGGGCGCCTGGCTGGCTCACCCGGAAGAGCATTCGACTTTTGATCGTGGGGCCGTGAGTTCGAGCCCCACGTTGGGTGTAGAGATTATTAAAAAAAAAATTATAAACTTAAAAAGAATACAGTATTTTTCTAAGTAAAGCAAGTAAACACCAGTACTTAACCTTCTGTTTGCACTTTAGTCATCACTTCTCTTGCTGCTTGTTCTTCAGGCACATGAATGTCTGCATCATCCTTTATAAGTTCATCCTTAGATCCATAGCCTTGGTCAGACTGACCACCTGTTGAAAAAGAATGCAGGCTTACAGGTGAATGTTTTCATATATTCATAGTCTAGTTATAAATGTCAGAAGAAAATTCCATTGATTTATACAATTAAACTTACAGAAAAGGAAGACAAGAAAGCTCACAAAGCACACAGAACATGGTAAACAAATGACAAGAAGCGAAGAACAGGAACAACAGGAACATCAAATACTAAAAAATTTGGAGTACTGAACCTTAGTTTCCTCATCCGTAAATTAATAGATTTGGACAAGACGTTCTGAAAAGTTTCTTTTGGAGTATATCTATAGAATGCTACCTTTTGTGAAAGAAAGAGGAGGAAATAAAACAAGCATGTATCTGTTTACTTTTGCAAAAAGAAATGAAAAAATAAAACACCAGAAAACAATAAAACTGGTTAACTATAAGGGGTGGGGGGAAATAGGGAAGGGATAAAGAGAGAGGAAACTTTTCTAAATATGGCTCATTGTATTGTTTTTATTTTTGGAAATACATCAATTTCTACATATTCAAAAAAATTAAATCAACAAAACTGGGAGGAGGCTCATGACTAAAACTGAATGTAAAAGAAACAAATGGGACCAACTGCATTCCACATGAATAACCATATTGAAAGGATGGGGGAACAGGGAGAGGGGGGGAGGACTAATCCAAGAAACTTTTCAATACATTGTAAGCCTGGCCGGGGTCGGGGGGGGGGTCGTAATAGACAAATCCTGAACTCCTTAAAAAGTTTGTTTCTCCCCAGAATAATAGACGTAGCAATTCTGAAATTATTTTATATATACTGCAGGACTGAGCAAATGAGTAAACATAATGATGGATATTGGGAGCCAAGATACTTACTGTGGAAGAAGAGATTTTTAAAAAATGAAATGAAGGAAGACAAAGAAAAACCTGTAGTGTTGATTTGAAAATGGAAGTATTTCTAGGGCACCTGGGTGGGGCACCTGGGTGGCTCAGTTGGTTAAGCGTCCGACTCTTGGTTTTGGCTCAGGTCATGATCTCAGGTCGTTGAGATCAAGCCCTGTGTGGAGCTCCACACTCAGCAGGGAGTCTGCTTGAGATTCTCTCTCCCTCTCCCTCTGCCCCTCCCCACCCTCAAATAAATAAATAAAGCTTAAAAAAAAATGGAGGTATTTCTAAAACATACATATTTCTTTTTTTCCCCCCTCATATATACATATTTTCAGCCCTGCTGAAAAATTCTAGAAGCAGTAATACCCTGTAGTGTAAGCATACCGAGAGTCCAGATCTTGGCTTCTAGAATCTATTGCCCATTGAAAGGAACCTGGGATCCTCGAAGAAATGGCTGATTTCAGATCTCAGGCAGGAAAGCTACAAGAATGAGCCAGGAACATTTTGTTGTACTAAAAGGAAGTGTTCAAAAACATAATCAGGGTATGTATGAGTAAAATGATTAAACCAAAAAACATGGAATACCATCCTATAAATGTGGATGGAGGACAGAGTTGGCAAAATCACTGTTTTTTTTTTTAAAGATTTATTTATTTGAGAGAGAGCACAAGTACAGGGGGAGGGGCAAAGGGAGAGGGAGAATCTCAAGCGGACTCCATGCTGAGCACAGAGCCCAACACAGGACTTAATCTCACAACCCTGAGATCAGGACATGAGCAGAAATCAGAGTCAGACGCTTAACCAACTGAGCCACCCAGGCGCCCAAATATCACTACTTTATAGTAAAGACTGGTTAAGGCAAGAATCATCAATGGATGCTAAATTTAAAAGAGAAAGTATGATGAGAAAGAGGGTATTACTGCATAGGCTCAGAGTCTCCTCTCAGTAGGGGCAGTAATGATAACGAGGAGAAACCAAATACCAAGCCCGGGTGATCAAAATTAGTATCACCAATGAGAGGCACACACTGTCTGTGGGGATGTGACAATCACTTTTGTAGTAGCGCTATCGATGTAAGCCCAATCTAATCACAAGGAAACATCAGACAAACTCAAACTAAGGAACATTCCACAAAATAACTGGAATAATTCTTCAAAAAGGTTGAGGTCATGAAAGACAAAGAAAGGGTAAGGAACTGTGCCAGGTTAAAGGAGACCAAAGAGAGGGAGCTGGAGTCCCACAAAGGCCATTACAGCAATTGACAAAACTGGAATGTAGACTACAGATTAAAGTAATATATCGATATTTTCCTGAATTTGGTTAACTATACTATGGTTTTATCAGAGAAAAATACCACTGAAGTATTAAAAGGTAAAAGGGCAAGATGTATGCAACCTGCTGTCACACGATTCAGAAAAATAATGTGTTTATGGGTGTACAGAAACAAAACGATAAAGCAAGTGTGGCAACTAAAAGAGCGAATCTAGACAGACATTATTCAAGTGTTCTCTGTACTATACTTGCACCATTTTCATAAGTTTGAAATAATTTCAAAATAAAGTTTTAAACAAGTCTATTTGACTTTCGAGTTCTATCATTTAAAATAGAAACGAAGACTGAGGACTAAACGAGGCCTACCCGAAACTAAGTTCCTAGAGAATCCTTACAGAGGATGTCTGTGAAACATGAAACAGGAACACACGGTTGACCCTCAGACACTGGTCCTCCCACCCCACACAATCGAAAATCCAGGCCTAACTCTTCACTCCCCCAAAGCTGAACTAATAGTCTACTGTTGACTGGCAGCCTTACCGATAACAAACAGTCGATTAACACATATCTGGTATTCTATATATTATATACTGTATTCTTACAGTAAAGGAAGCTAGAGAAAAGAAATGTTATTAAAAAATCATCAAGTATTGGGCGCCTGGGTGGCTCAGTCGTTAAGCGTCTGCCTTCGGCTCAGGTCATGATTCCAGGGTCCTGGGATCGAGTCCCACATCGGGCTCCCTCCTTGGTGGGAAGCCTGCTTCTCCCTCTCCCACTCCCCCCTGCTTGTGTTCCTGCTCTCGCTATCTCTGTTTCTGTCAAATAAATAAATAAAATCTTTAAAAAAAAAAAATCATCAAGTATTGTAGTAGTGTTGTATGGTGACAGATGGTCGCTACACTGTGGTGAGCACAGCATAAGGGATAGAGAAGTGGAATCACTATGCTGTAGACCTGAAACTAATGTAACATCACATATAAACCATACTCAAATTTAAATTTTTTTTTAAAACGGGGGAAAACAAAAATCATAAGGAAGAGGAAATACATTTACAGTACTGTATTTATTGAAAAAACCTGGTGTGGAAGTGGACCTGTGCCGTTCAAACCCATGTTGTTCAAGAGTTAACTGTAGTGCCTTCTCCCTTCTGCTGCGTGTTATATTGCCACTCAAACTTTGGGTTTGCAATATAAGAAAAAAAACTAAGCTTCTTTATATACCCCTCATTAGAATGATTAATTTGCCAGTTTTTTATTGGCCCCTCAGAAAGTCTGGTAAGGCATGATGCTTCCATGAAATGGACACAAAGTCTGGGGACTAAGCTGACTGATTAAACCAAGGTATGCCCCCCAACAAGCTAAGTGACCCCGTATCAGGTATCAAGTGGAAGATTCTACAAGAGAATCCTCAAAGAAAGAGCAACCTAAGAACCTGGGTTGGAAGTCTCCAAAAGTATCAAATGACATCACCAGAAACTCTACAAGGACCCATAATCACTTTAAATTCAGCACCGGGGCTTCAGCCATTTGAAATGTAACTTTAAAGATATGTATGGAAAAGGGATCTGAAGTTCCTTCCCCAACTACTGGAATCTTTATGCCAATTACCCAGAATTACTAGGAGATTGTTTTTTTTTTTTTTTCATTAAAGGAGATAACCTTAGAAGAATAAGGACAGGATTTATCTATTACTATTTTAAAAATTGTAATTATTCTGGTGAAATGGTTTCATATCACAAAATTATTCTTTTTTTTTTCATAAATGAAATCCATTTCTTCTTACAAGTTTTAGGAACAAATACAGGAAGAAATAAAATAAGGCAACTTTAAAATCAAAGTCATATAAAAATTCCTACTGCTAAAAGAAAATTTATAAACAGGATTGTAACTTATAGCTCTATGTTGACTTTCAATGATTTACACATGGTTCTGTAGTTATGGGGTAATTTTTAGCACAAGAACTTAGCAGATTAGTTTTAGCAAGCAAAACCATCTCAACAGCTGGAACACTGAAATCTTTAATCCCCATAAAACTATTGGATACAATGATGCTACAAACAAACCCCAGTGGAAGAATTATAGCAAGGCACACTGTATTTTCAAATAAGATAACAAATATGCTTTGCAAAATGAGTGAAATGTCAGCTGGATATTTTCAGTGGTACATATATGATTACACTTATCTGAAGAAGAAAAAGTCAAGAAAACTGAAACTGTTTTCCACCTGTAACAATACTTTAAACACAACAAAAGGTCTCTCCCCCACCCTTGCATGTCAGCAAAATTTAACCTAATAAATGGGAAATTACCTGAAGTGGTTAACATTCAAGGGTAGAATTAATGCACACGTGTATCCATAGCTTCACGTCATACAAGTCTGTCTGCACCCCACACCATGACAGCCAAGGACAAATGCAGCACCAAGAAACAGCACAGAGCAAAAAGCAGAGCAACAAAGAGCAGAAAAAAGGAAACTTCAGTCATTGAGACAAGTTCATCAAGTGAAGCACAGGAATTAGGATTCTTTTTAAAGAAAAGCTTGAGATATTAACAATAACAACAACAAAAAAAGAAAAACAACACAAAAAGAAGGATGTGCAACACACATATATTTGCTCAATGTGCTACTCGAATTACGCGTATTTCTAACTTCACAGGACAGAGGGTATGCCCGTAGCTTTGTATGTAAAAGTCGCTTCCGAAGTTCCTCAGATTTTAAAAAAGTGTCACTTAAAATAATGACTATGCAAAGAGAATACTCTTTCTCATGGTATGTGGCTTATTTTCTTCCCGCTTTAATATTCATAATCTCAAATTTTTTTACTATTTTCCACTTAATGAAAAAAAGATCTGCAAGTTGTATCACTACATTCAAGTTCCTCAGTTTATCATTCCTACAGTTATTTCATATACTTTCACAAATTAACGATGAACCAAATACAAAGGAGCACCATGCTAGAGCCTTTTGCACAGCACTCCAGAGTTAATTTTATATATTTTAGGAAATAAAAAGAAGGGATCTGCAATCGGAGATGTAATTTCTTCCCTTATTTATATAAAGTACTCATTGCACAAACTCTTAAAAAAGGAAGGTAAAAGCTTTTTAAAAAGGGAAAGACTTTACAAGAGAGTAAGTGAAGGGTTAGTAAAATCCAGATTTTAGTACCTGTGCTAAAGTGATTATCAGTGGAATCAAGCCTGATTGAATCTCTGACGAAGACTGTGTGCTCCCCATTGTTAGCATCATTAGAACTACCCACGCTACCGTGGCTCACCGCATCCCCATCACCGCCACCCGTGGCATTCTGAGGAGCTAAAGATAAGGACAACAGGAGGTCAATAACTCAGGCACTGATGATCTCTGAAACTAAACACGAATGCCTCACAATTCATTTATAGTTGCAGAACACTTTCTAAATCTGTGGAGGGAAAATAATCTGGGACTAATGTAATCTCTATCTTTAGTTGTATAGGAAAATATCAACCAGAATTTCATTTATGTTTTCTACTTCATACAATTAAACACTCGCATGCCTATATAAAGCTTATGGTTCAGTAAGAGGGTATCTTTCCAACCACATGTATTACCTGATATTGAGGAGACCTGTGACTTTTGCACGGTCTTTTTAAGCGGCTGCCTAAATTGTGCCAAGCCACGTACCACATTCCGTACCTTCGTCCATAAGAAGATACCACTGCGGGTACTGCTAGGCCACGGGCTCTCCAAAACTACCTACAGGTAAAATAATGGTTAAAAATAATGATTATAAGGAATACTTGATTTTTTAAAGAAATACATATATACACAATACATACATAATGAACTACAGCTCAAAACTCTAAAAGAAGTTTCATGAATAATAAAAGGTACAAAAATGTGTCAATCTTAATAAGCAGCATAGGTTGTCCAATGTCAATCCCACTTACCTTATTATAATAACCATAAGTAATAGCATTTGGCTTTATCTTAGCAGTTTTCATTTCAAATAAGACTCTCACTGCCAAAACAGGATGACCCCAAAGTCCACAGAGCTGCATGACTACTCGATAGCACACCTAACAAAAAATAACATCGAAGCATGAGCAGTTAATTAGTCTATGACCTGTAGAAATTTTTAAATTATTCAATTCTTCTTCTCAAAGTCATTAACACTATGTTATCCTTTGTTCTGAGTCTTGGTAAATTATTTTAAAAACCTATTCATTAATGAAAATACCAGCCTTAACTATATCACATAAGACCTATGTGCATGTGTGCCATTTGTTTCAGCAACTAAGTTTACCAAAGAGAATGACTATTATTCCCCGTAATTTGAGAAGGAATTCATTTTTTAAATCTAATATGATTAAAATAACTCTCTCTCAAATCATGTTCTATATTCTGTGCCAAAGGAATTAAAGACAACATCTCCAGGATGTCTATGTAACAAAGATTTTTGTAAACCCATGTCTTAGAAAAGTATGAGAAGAAACTTTAGGGGCGCCTGAGTGGCTCAGTCGGCTAAGCGTCTGCTTTAGCTTACGGAGTCCTGGGATGGAGCCCCAAGTCGGGCTTCCTGCTCAGTGGGGAGCCTGCTTCTCTCTCTCCCTCTGCCCCTCCCCCTGCTTGTGCTCGCTCTCTCTCAAATAAATAAAAAATCTTAAAAAAAAAAAAAGAGAGAGACAGGGGAAAAAGGATGGCAGAGGAGTAGGGGACCCTATTCCAACTGGTCCCCAGAATTGAGCTGGCTATCTACCAGACCACTGGGAACACCCACAAAATCAGCCTGAGATGTAAGAAGATAGATCTGATCTCTACAAAGAGAATATCGCGGGCAGTTGGTTTCGAGGTACGAAGCAGGGAGCCGTGAGTCTGCAGGCAGCTATCAGAGGATAAACCACATCAAGATACCACCTTACACCAGTTAGAATGGCAAAAATGGACAGGGCAAGAAACAACAAATGTTGGAGAGGTTGTGGAGAAAGGAGAACCCTCTTACACTGTTGGTGGGAATGCAAGTTGGTACAGCCACTTTGGAAAACAGTTGTGGAGATGCCTCAAAAAATTAAAAGCTACCCTATGACCCAGCAATTGCACTACTGGGTATTTACCCCAAAGACACAGATGTAGTGAAAAGAAAGGCCATATGCACCCCAATGTTTATAGCAGCAATGTCCGCAATAGCCAAACTGTGGAAAGAGCTGAGATGCCCTTCAACAGATGAATGGATAAAGAAGTTGTGGTCCATACAGACAATGGAATATTACTCAGCCATCAGAAAGGATGAATACCCAACTTTTACATCAACATGGATGGGACTGGAGGAGATTATGCTAAGTGAAATAAGTCAAGCAGAGAAAGTCAATTATCATATGGTTTCACTTATTTGTGGAACATAAGGAATAGCATGGAGGACATCAGGAGAAGGAAGGGAAAAAATGAAGGGGGGGATATCAGAGGGAGAGATGAACCATGAGAGACTATGGACTCTGAGAAACAAACTGAGGGTTCTAGAGGGGAGGGGGGTGGGGGGATGGGTAGGCCTGGTGATGGGTATTAAAGAGGGCATGTACTGAATGGAGCACTGGGTGTTATACAAGAGCAATGAATCATGGAACACTATATCAAAAACTAATTATGTATTATATGGTGATTAACATAATAAAATAAAATTTAAAAAAATAAATAAAAATTTAAAAAATAAAGTTATGGGAAAAAAAGAAACTTTAAAATACTATTATTAGCGGGGCGCCTGGGTGGCTCAGTTGGTTAAGCGACTGCCTTCAGCTCAGGTCATGATCCTGGAGTCCCAGGATCGAGTCCCGCATCGGGCTCCCCGCTCAGCAGGGAGTCTGCTTCTCCCTCTGACCTCTTCCCTCTTGTGCTCTCTCTCATTCTCTCTCTCTCAAATAAATACATAAAATCTTTAAAAAAAATAATAAATAAATAAATAAATAAAATACTATTATTAGCAAAGGCCTTTCTGAGAATATGTGTTTACTGAGGAGGGCTAGATTTGATCACAAGAGGACAAGTGAAGTTAGAAGACGGAGTTAGAATCTCACACATTAGAAGACTACAGCAGAAATCACGGAGAATAAATGGGGATCTCACAGGCTCCCAGCAAAGAGGTAAGCAGCTAACAGGAGTAGTGACGGTATGGCCACAGACTCGCTTACAGCTTCGTCTGAGAATAAGGAAATACACAGAAGATACTCTTCTCGGGTCTTGTAAAATGTGCTCTGCTTATGACAGAGCTGGTTAACAAAAAGGTACTGTAAAGCCAAGTTGCTCTCAACTAAAGGGAAAAGTAAAAAGATTTCAGAAAGGATATTTTAGTCAAGAGAACAGAAGAAATGAAATAGAAAAAGAGACATGAAAAGGCCGAGGGTCATAAAGAGGACTACTTGGAAGCCAGAAATGGAGAACGTAATTTAGAAACAGGAGGTTAGAAACTGTGAGAGCAACTCTACAAATGACTACATGAATCAGGGACAACTGAAGGAACCAGCGAAGATGTGTGAAGGGATGAAAGATAATGTGGCACACGAGGGTTCTTCAAATACCTGAAGAGTTGTCAAGTCAAAGAGGGAGTAAACAGTCTGTACAATTCCAAAAAAGCTCTAGGGAGGTAGGAACTGAGCTCAACCAGAAACACACACACTTCCTAAACATTAGACTCCATTCCAGCATAGGGAAGATCTCATATGCTACAGACTTGCTACAGAGGATCTCAGCTTTAGGTTCAAGTTGTACTAAAGTATCTTCAAATCCTATCAACCCTTAAGATTCTGTGGGCCGTAAAGAAGTAACTCACTTTCTACGTCAAATTGGGATTAATCTGAATCTTCTAAAAACATTCTAGGCAATGAATTTATTCTGAAGTCTGCAAAGTGCTCCCCAACCTCCCAGTTTTACCTATATAAGGGCCAGTCACCAAACTAAAGAAATAGTAATAATGCCAAAGATGTAATTTTTCAATTGCAGTATTTTGTTGCCTACAACATATCTTTTGGATATCTGTGGTAGATAAAGGATGGCCACTCACTCTTTGCTACTCCTTCCACTGGGTCTATGTCCCTCCCCCTGAACTGAGAGAGAAGGGCGTCTAAGGCTGCATGACCAACAGAATTTGACTAAAGAGACACTGTACTAGTTTCCTGGCTGAAGCCTTAAGAAACTGCCAGTTTCCACTTCCTCTCCCTTGAAACAAAGGTCTAAGTTATCACGGACAAAGCCCAAGTACCACAGAGAGAGGTCCTGAGCCTACATGGAGGGAGAGGGGCCCACCTGAGCCCAGCATTACGCTCCCCCTTGCCAAGGTACCTGGTTGGCACTGGAGTTAAGCTATCTTGGGCCCACCAGACCAGATCAGCTAGCAACGATTATGACCAACTGATTCCAGTCAATGCAATGTGGAGCAGAAAAATCACCCAGAATCCTTCCTGGGTTCTCAGCAAATAAGATAAAGGCCAGATTTAATAAAATTGTTGTCTTAAGCCACTAAGTTCTGGGGTAGTTTGTTACTCAGCAGTGTACAACAATATCATATGAACAGACTGACAAAAAAATGTAGGAGTAAGTTTGACACAAATATTTCATTTTCATTAAAAATTCAGTTAAGTAGTATTAAAAACAAAATGCATTATGCATTTTAACTTAAGTCTATGTGGCAGATGCTATTTCTGGGTCTTTGAAGAGTTTTATTTTAAAATCTAGGTTATTACACCTTTTACAAACATAACATGCAGAACAAAGAGCTGTCAAATTAGAACATTAAGCATATGAATGAGACAGTAGGTTCTAATGAAGTAGACCTAAAAATCAAGACCACTTACTTATTAGGCAGTCTTACGTGTGTGTCATTTCATCTAAGTTTCAAATTATTTTCTTTGTAAAATGTAGCTAATATATAAACTGCCTCACAGACTTGCTGGAAATACCAAAGGAAAGAATGTACATGAAAATACTTTGAAAACTTTAATATGCTACTCTCTATATAATCAATAAACAGATAAGATGCACAGAATACACTTAGAAAATATGCATTCTTAAGTCTTAAAATAAACATTTCTATCTTCCAGTTGTGGAGATGTAATGACTTCAGGAGAGTAAAAGTCTGTCAAAATAACTTGTTAGAAGTAGGAATACAACAAATTAAGCTCCAAATTTTAAGCTTCCTATCACAGTGTTTATTGGGGAAATACTCTGAAAATTTTTTTTAGCTTACTAGTCATAATTGCTGTATGTTAGAAATGAGAGAATGTAATTCCTTGTACCAAAGACTACCCCTGAACTTTAATACCTAGAGAGAAAAATACTTTTCAGGATTTATGATATGTACTATGAACTTCTAACTTATCAAACAAATTTAATCAAGTACTGTGCTCTGAATTTAGAGTACAGTAACATAATTCATTAGCATACTTTCAAACACTTTATAAAAATATCTTCACAGAGCATACTTTAAAACACTTTAAAAATATTTTATGCCTTTCACAAGTTAAAACACATCTTAAAACACATCTCAGATAGAAAACTGTATTAGAACAAATTTTTTAAAACACTAAAATGCATAAGGTACGAAACACTGATTCAGATCAAGTACTTTTAATTTCCAAATAGTTTTATAAACATTGGATGAGAGAAAAAATGTAATCAAATATGAGAATGGATATTTTAGTACTTGTTTTATAATTTTATTTTTAAAGCTTTTATAACATAGTTAATACTTAGAGAAAATCAGTTTTAGTAAACCCACAAGTATTATCAAATCTTCATATTATACATGCTATATTCATTTAAGATCTTTTTTATTTTAAGAAAAAAAATATATAATTACTGCTGAAGCCTATAATGCGCCCCTCTTCAAAACCATTTCTCTTCTATCCCTGTGTTCTTTCCCCTCAGATACCCATTACTCAGTTTTTATTTCAATTTCATTTTAAATTCTAATCTGATTCTAAAGATCATTTATAGTTATTTTAACACCAAAAGTTATTTTTAAGAGGGAAAACTAGCCAAGATAAAGGCTAAATAAGTGATTCAGTTTCCTCAACGATTAACTGGATAGTATCACTACAGATCTCTTAGGATGGCTCTAAAGCTTAAGAGAGAGTGCCAGTAACACCTTTAGCATATCAATCACTGAGTGGTAACACCTTTAGCATATCAATCACTGAGTGCTTACCCGGTAAGCCAGGTACTATTCTAGCACACTGTACATTAACTGATTTAACCCTCAAGTTAACCTTATAAAGATGGTACCAACTGTAATTATCTACATCAGTGGGGCAATGTGTGTAGACATTTCTGAATGCCATGTAAAAGGGGGACTGCTATTGGCATCTAGCATACAGAAGCCAGAGATGCTGCTAAACAAACTACCATGTCCAGGACAGGCCCACAATAAATAATTATGTGGGCCAAAATGCCGATAGTTTCAAGGTTGAGAAGTCTGGATCTACATTTTCAGATACATAATCTGAGACACAGGCAGGTTATATAACTCACCCTAGAACAAAGGGCCTAAGTGGAGAGCACTTACTAATAGCCTATTCCCCATTTGCTTCATAATAAAGTTATACTAAGAATAAAATGAAGTAGGGGCGCCGGGGTAGTTCAGTTGGTTAAGCGTCCAACTCCTGATTTCAGCTCAGGTCACAATCTTAGGGTTGTGAGATGGAGCTGGGCGTGGAGCCTGCTTAAGATTCTCTCTCTCCCTCTCCCTCTGCCCCTCCCCACTCTCTCCCTCTCTTAAAAAAATAAAAAGAATAAAATGAAGTCAATATTATTTTCTATTTATCAAGTGCAAACTATCTGACCTAAGGCAGTCTCTGCTTCATTCCAAATAAATATATTTAAATAAATAAATATATTTAAATAAATAAATATATTTAAATAAATAAATATATTTAAAAATAAATAAATATATTTAAATAAATATATTTAAAAATAAACGGTAAGTATTAGCTCCATGGAATAGAGTAATATTTAACCTTTCCTGCTTAATGAAAATACTTGAGAATACTTTAAAGCAACTGAGACCTAAATTCCCTTAAAAATACAAAAATAAAATTTATCCTAGTAATGATAATTTGTTATACTTGCCTCATCTAGTGGATCCACATCTGTTTTCCTCATCTTAATGAGTACATCATAGGCCTGCTGAAGTGCTCTGACCTTAGGGTGAGAAACTCTAACATAGGCTGGGAGACAAATAAACCATAAGCTGTAACAATGACTGAAGAGACACTTGGCCCATTGTGGTGGATTTGTGTAACATCTCTTCGCCAACTTATGAGCTGTTTTTATCTCCTAGAAAGAGAATAAATAAAACATTATGGTATTTGGGACACTTGGCTAGCTCAGTTGGTAGAGCATGCAACTCTTGATCTCTGGTTCAAGAGTTCAAGCCCCACACTGGGAGTAGAGATTACTTACAAAAAGAAAATTAAGAAAAAAAACATTATGGTATTTATTAAAATCCATTAGGGTGGAGATAAAAGTGAGAAGGAAAAGAGAGGAATGTAATGTAAAATTTGCCTCTAAATTAAGCATTTCAGTTTTACTTTCATGACTGGCTTCCTACTTAGTGCCATGTGATGCCCTCAACATTCACCTACAGAAGCACTTTATCCTGCACTGTAACTTTACCGGCAAGCACATGTTTCCTAATAGACTAGAAATCCCTTAGAAGTGGTGATCAGGGGCGCTTGCAGTTGTTAAGTGTCTGCCTTTGGCTCAGGTCATGATCCCAGGGCCCTGGGATCGAGCCCCTCATGGGCTCCCTGCTCGGCAGGAGGCCTGCTTCTCCCTCTCCCATTCCCCCTGCTTGTGGTTCCCTCTCTCGCTGTGTCTCTGTCAAATAAATGAATAAAATCTTTAAAAGGGGGGGGGGGCGCCTGGGTGGCTCAGTCGTTGGGCGTCTGCCTTCGGCTCAGGTCATGATCCCAGGGTCCTGGGATCGTGCCCCGCATTGGGCTCCTTGCTCGGCGGGGAGCCTGCTTCTCCCTCTCCCACTCCCTCTGCTTGTGTTCCCTCTCTCACTGTCTCTCTGTCAAATAAATAAATAAAATATTTTTAAAAAGTAAAAAAATAAAAAAAGTCCTTTAAAAAAAAGTGGGGATCATTCATATTTATATAATATGATGGCTAATTAGTTACCCTTCACATAAAAGGCACTCATATGCTTGATGAATAAAAGGGTTTCAACCATTTAGAGCTTGTCAGTCCTTCAATGGCATTCTTGAAAAGTGATAGTCTTTCCACCTTTCTCCCTGCTGAAAATGTTTAAGATACCATAGGTATTTCCTGCCAAGATTTCCACTCTACCCTCCCTCACCACAGTCTTTGATTCTTTCACTGACTGACACCTCAAAAAGACGTATGCCACTGTAGGCAACATAGTCTGATAAAGATCACAGACTTTCTTACCCAACAGACCGACAGTCATGTTTTCTACTTCTGATTTTCATTCTGATTTAGGTGGAAAAGAGTACGTATCAAAACCACCTGCTGAGCTTTAATCAAACTATATATATACTCCCATGGCATACCTGGGTGGCTCAGTTGGTTGAGCACCCGGCTCAGGTCATGATATCATCTGGGTTGTGAAATCGAGCCCCAGGTCAGGCTCCGAGCTCAGCACAGGACCTGCTTGAGATCCTCCCTCTCCCTCTGCCCCTCCCCTGCTTGTGCGCACATGCGTGCTCTCTCAAATAACTCTTAAAAAAAAAAAAAACTATATATACTCCCAGAAACCACAGAACCTTCCAGATATGTCAGACTACCATTGTGTACCTTGCACTAAAGATTCCTCTGCTGGCATGTGTTTTAAATAAAAATGTCCTGGCCCATTATGTTTTCTTATGAGCTCTATTTCCATTAGACTCAGAAGATGTATTTGAAAATACAGTCCCTTGTTTTTCTAAGATGGGAAGTTTCTTTTCTTTTCCAGCTAGCCTGGGGGACAAAAATTCTGGTGAATATGAGATTTAAAGATTTAGTAACCAAATTCTCCCATTATAAAAACTGGCTTTTATTAAGCGGGTAATAGCAAATATATATGCTAATTTCCCTTCAGACATTGAGAGAAACGTGTACTATATGAAATTAAGGAACACTTCAGGTTACCTCTAGGATTTGGGAGACTGTACATGAACTGTTGACACCTGAACTAAAAACTTCATTCTGAAATTTTCCATGTTTTATAGACCACAAATACATCAACAATATATGTACAAAAGGATGTTTCATTTTAACTCACACCTAACCATAGACCAACTCTTTATACCTAAATCAGACATAGTATTAAAGCAAGATGTCTAACTTATCCTAAATTAACTCCCTTTAAGTCCCTTTAAATGTAGTACTTGGCATAAAGTATATTTACATTAACTGTGAGAGAAATGAAAATTGAAATCACAATGAGATACCACTTCACACACACAAGGATGACTATCATCAAAAAGACAGATCATCACAAGAATTGACAGGGACATGGTACAACTGGAACCTTCATCCACTGCTGGCAGGAATTTAAAATGGTATAGCTATTTTGGAAAACAGTCTTGACAGTTCCTCCAAAGGTTAAACATACAGATACCATATGACACAGCAATTCTACTTCTAGGCATTTACCCAAGAGAAATGAAAACACACATCCACACAAACACTTGCACACAAATGTTCACACCAGCACTATGCACAATAGCCAAAAGGTAGGAACCACTCACATGTACATGAATGAATAAATAAAATGTGGTATATATCCATACAATGGAATATTATTCAGCAATAAAAATAAATGAAGTATTGGCACATGCTGCAACATGGATGAACTTAAAAACATTATGCTGTGTGAAAGGAGCCAGTCACAAAAGGCCACTTATTGTATAATTCTATTTATGGAATATTTATTATGAAACTCCCAGAACAGGCGAAACCACAAAGACAGAAAATAGATTAGTGGTTGCCTAGGGCTGTGGGGGATGGATGGGAGGGTTAACAGGTAAGAGGTGCAGGCTTTCTTTTTGGGGTAATGAAAATGTTCTGAAATTGACTGTGGTGGTGGTTGCACAACCCTGTGAATATACTAAAAGCACCGAGTATACCGAGTATACTTTAAATGGGTGAATTGTATGGTATAGGAATTGTATCTCAATAAAGTTGTTTTTAAAAAAGTGTATTTGGTTCCCCAGGATTCTCTTACAACATAAACATAAGCATTCAAAAACTTCAGACTCAGTATTATAACAGAGTTGTAAGACATCTAGTTTACTTAATAACCACAGAGCGTCTTCAAATAGTTGCCATGGGTGATAATACTAAACTATGAGCTGCATATCACATATACATATTTTACATTTTAAATTAACATGTATTAGATAAAGAATATCTGACCTGTTTAGTTCTCTTAGCCATGAGTGCTGGACTGTTTGCAATGCTATTCCCAGTAGGGTGTCTACTAAAACAAAGTTTCAACTCCTGTGGTCTGTCAAAAAGCTTAAGGTCCAGTCTTGGAAAGTATTTGTAACTAAAATAAAAAGCAAAAATAGAACTACTGATTTAAAATTCATTAACTCTTTATATTATTCCAGAATTTAGGTGAATATTTCTAAATCTTAAATAGTACCCAATATTATTCCCCAAAATCCGGATATAGAAAAATAATGTTTTTCAAAACTGTAAGATGATATAGTTACAAGATACACAGACTACCTACATGGAAACTTTGGCTTCCTCCCCACCCTCTAAGTTATTTTCACCCAAACCCTGGAAAACAGAAAATCCTGGTATCTTACTTAATAGAGGAATTAGTAACTTTCAACAGAAACCATGTGTTCAATAATAATTTGTATTAAAAAGTAACATGTAGTATACTTTGTAATTTTGTTTTTCTTCATAAAAGTACCTTGCAGTGGTATTTAAGAGGAAAAAAAATAAATCCTTAAGATTTTTATTTTAGGGATATATAATTTCACCATTCTTTATTGTTGGACATTTTTAGGTTATTTCTGAATTTTTGCAATTAAAGATCTGTGTATTTATATCTTCGTGAAACTTTTGCTTAATGTCTTAGGATAATGCCCAATAAAAGAGTTTGCTATGGTCAATGTTTATCAAGAGAATCAAAATTATTATAGTCATTATCAAATTATTTCAAGAAAGGTTATACTTATATACACTCTATAGAGTAGCATAACCTATCTTCAATCCGAAAGATTAAAAATGCTTCGACTCACCATTTTGGTTTGCATTTCTTTGAATACTAGAAAAACTTAATATATTTTCATATTATTAATTATTGGGATTTCTTCTTGGAAATTGCCTACTTACTGCCTTTGGCCAATTTTCTTCTGGGAGATATTGCCTTTCCCTATTTTGATTTACCTTACACATGAATTCCAGTGTATAGAGATTAAACCAAAGTAAAAAAAACAAACTATAAAATGTGATCAAAACAGCACTTAAGCCACTAAATTTCAGTATATACTATTCATTCTTATACAATCTAGGTGAGATAATATATTAATTCTATATTTTTGGAAGACAATTATTTTATACCCCCTTTGCCTCAGATATTCTTTTAGGAATGCAGCCTAAAAAAAAAACACAAAAAACTATATGTATATACACAAGGATATAGATAGCAAAGAACTGAAAAAAAAAAAAAAATCCACAAGAGACTAAACAAATCACAATAAATGCATGCAATATGTTCATTCAAAATGATATGGCACAACAATATTTGTTAGCATGGAAAAATGTTCAGACCACTAAAGGCAGACACAGGTTACAAAGAGTATGTACAATATGAACTCATATTTGTTTTAATAGAGTAAATGCAAATTTATGCGCAAAAACAGGAAAGATAAACATACAGTTGTTAACAGACATTAAATATTGGTGCTTAGATGATGTGCTACTTTTCTTTTTTGATTTTCTAAGTTCGTTAAACTGTGTATTATCATAATTATAACAACAAATAGCAATCAAGTACATTTTAATTTCTTAAAACGTTCCCATCCAAATTCTATTCTCCAAGTTTATTTTTTTTATTATTTTTATTTTATTTTAAATCCCAGTGTAGTTAACATACAGTGTTGTATTAGGTTCAGGTGTACAATATAGTGATTCAACACTTCCATACATCACCTAGTGCTCATCACGGACAAGTGCACTCCTTAATCCTCATCACCTATTTTAATAAACGATTCCTGGCGCTCTACTTTTAAGTTTTCCCTGGTATCTTACCAATGAGTAAGAATTTCAGTCTTTACATTGACAACAAAACCCCTAAACATAGGAGAAACCGAACAAAAGTAAGCTTATTCTTCTCCAGAAGTGAAATTTTTAAAGATTAAAATATGATTAAATGTTTAGGTGAACAGTGATCAACATTTGGCTTCCCTTCCAAAAAGGCTGTCCAATTTTTAAATTATAATATCTGGTAACATCTTTATATAATATTCATCTTCATTAGTTCACCGAATTAATTTTGAAAATGACTTTCACAAATGACTAACATACGTATCTACTAATAATCACAAAAGATCAAAATAAATTATTAAAGCTGAATGCAAACAGCAATTTAAAAAAATTCCTGCTACCTGTACTTTGGTGACAGATCCTTTCCATCATCAGGAGGTGGCTCTGGTGGCATTATGAATACGGTGTGCTCACTTTTCTGTGAATCATCTAGCTCTATCAATTTGGTATCTTCGGCTGAATCACAATCAACCTGAAAATAATTATTTTCTCCAATTAATCTGCAAACAGGCAATATCTAGTTTTGGAATTTTAAAACTTAAGAAAAAATACCTTATCTGTTTTCTCTGTGCCTTTATCAGGAAACAACTAGAAACGAAGAAAAGAATTCTTGGTGAAAATGTCTACTGTGAATTTATTAGAGATGATCTTAAGTTCTTATTTTAAAAACTATCCCTTTTTAATACTGGACAGACAGGAACACTTCACATATATTTGGGGGACCCTACACTGTCAGGTTAACATATAATATTTTTCTTATGGCTATTAGGATAGAAACAATTTATTTTAAATAGGTTTTTCATAAATCCCTCACAAGCAAAAAATGGCCAGTCACGAAGGGAATCTGGCTTCTCAAATCAAAAATTTCATTGTTATTAAAACCTTGCATTAGAAACTGATACTATCTAAGCTTCCCTCTAACTGGATGATGTCAGACTATCAATTTTATAAGTAACAAAAACGTTGAATAGTTTTAATCTTATCCCCGGAGTTCTAGATCACATTGGTAGAATGGGAGAAAATCATTCAAGTCCTCTAAGGAGACTACAAAAATTATGTCATAATATTCTACCTTTTTTAGATACAATCTCAAATTTTACATACTATGGCTTACTTATTAAACAAATCAGCCCCAAGATCCACTTAGCAAAAATAAAAAACTCTATTAAAAATGAGGGGAGGGGCACCTGGGTGGCTCAGTCATTAAGCGTCTGCCTTCAGCTCAGGTCATGATCCCAGGGTCCAGGGATCGAGCCCCGCATCAGGCTCCCTGCTCGGCGGGAAGCCTGCTTCTCCCTCTCCCATCCCCCTGCTTGTGTTCCCTCTCTCGCTGTCTCTCTCTGTCAAATAAATAAAATCTTTAAAAAAAATTAAATTAAAAAAAAATGAGGGTAAAAAAATGTTGAGTCATCACTGTGAAGAATCAAACTTCCTTACAATGGGTAAGTAAAACTCTGATATTTAACATATTTCCAAATATGCTTCATTAAAACAAAAAATATATATTCGGCAAAAGTATTTGGAAAGATATTAAAACAAAAGAAAAAAATGGCATATATTGACTATCTTGCAAAAACATATAATGTTTAAAATGCATAACTGAATAAAGAAAAACTAATAGTTAAAAGAAAAAAAACAAAACACAAGACTGCATTACCCATAAAACTAAACTTTCTTAATGAACTACTAAATCTAAGTGAGATTCAAGAAAAATTAGCTATGTATGGTGGAAACTAGAATCACAAAGGAAAATTATTCTTATACTAAGCCTAGAATTGGACACTTGCACACAGCACACCCCTATACTGTCTCCCTCAGATCATCTGGACTAATAATAATGATGATTATACAGGCAGCCAAACTGTTAAAGTTTTTCTTTAACACTTACATACAGGACAAACTTTTACCTTTTCTATGCAGTCATCAAAAAATGCCAATCCAGTATCTTTATCACTTACAAAACTACATTCTTCAATGAAACGAATAAAAATCTGTGTTTTGGATAAATGAGTGTAGAATTTTGTATAGGCACGATCTCGACTTTTTAAAAATCCTGAAGAAAACAAAAATTACAATTAAATTCAAAACAAAGTGGAACTAGATGTTATATAAAATATTATCTTAAACCTGTACATATCTATATTATATTCTCTTTACATATATCCACATTTATAGAAGCTTTTAGTAACGATATTCTAGTAACCCATCACTCCTTCTGCCTGATTCAACCATAAAAAACAACTTATACCATTAACCTTTTCGCTGAAATCTGAACCTCCTATAAGGAACCTCTAGCCCTAAAATTCTCAAGTAGAAATTTCTCTTTTATACTCTGCATAGTCTTAAGTAAGAAGGGTCAATGTCCTTCCTCTGCAGTGCCACTAGACAATTCCTGTATTGGCTTATAAAAATCTCTGCTCAGCGACAGTTCGAGCATCTTGGTTATCCCACCCTTTCCCCCTGCTAACGGTACTCATCTACTGACTTCGGGGACACTCTCTCCTTCAATCACTGAAGACTAGGGCATGTAATTCCAAGTCTTCTTTCCAACTCCTACCATTATCGTTCTTCAACATCCATAAGCGCAAACCATCCAACACTTTAACGAGTTCTTAAGGCCTTAAATTTCAATGATCTATGGTCTATCCCACCTCAGTCACCAACTTCTACACAGTCACACCCTCCCTGGCCCTTTCTTGTTGGCATTCAAAACAATTCTGCCTCCCAAATCTAATTTACATATATATTACTTTCTGCTCATTACCCTTGTCTGATTTGTATTTAAGTACTTCTACCAGGCGCTGGGGGGAGGGGGGCTCTTTGAAATCTACAATCATTCATATCCTTTTACTTTCTACCTAACCCTCCTGTCTTCACTTCTGTCCTTATCCAATTTTGATTCCATGTCCAAATCCATCATTTCAATTATTTTCTTGTCAACACTCTCAATTCTTATGTCCTTTTGTCTTTTTTGTCAAACTCACCTAGTAAAACTTAGCCCTGGAGGAATGTATTGCCTGCTTTCTGTGGATCTATACCAGTGTGGCTGAGCACAACTCAAAAAGGGAAAAAAAAATTCCACAACTAGGCTGATCAGAACACTTAACACCTTCATCTCTGACTAGCAACCCTACTAAATTTCTGGAATCAACTTAATTTCCTTTTACCCATGTTTTGACAACTATTTCCAATTTTTTAATTCTCTCCTATCATGTTCCCTCCCCCATTTCTAAATGATCACACCTTATATTGCAGAGAAAATAAAAATCATTAAGAGAATTACCATCGTATCTCACTACAAAAAATCTATGACTTCCGCAGCTATCAGGTACTCCTTCCCTCTTTCTACAATGGCTGTGTCCCTCTTATCTAAGGCCAAGCCCACCACAGGAGCCTGAGACTGCAGCCCTTTTAGTGTTCTCAGGGCAATTTTCCCTATTAGCTACTTATCAGCACACTCAAGTCTCTCTCTCATTTTAAAAATCTTTCCTTAAAAAATAACCAATCTTTCCCCTTTCTGCTGTTTCCTTTCTCAATAAAGGGCATGACAATCCATCCACTTGGTTGACAAAGACAAAAATTTCAAAGCTGTTCTTGACATCTCCCTCCATCTTATATCCCATATTCAATCACCAAGTTGTATTCAATCTACCTCCTAAAAAACATGACTCTTCTACTCATACTACCATCAATTAAACCAGGTCACTTCCATGATCACTTGGACCAATGCGATAACCAACTAACTAGCAGATCCATACTCTGGATGCCTCCAACTCAATCTCTGCATAGAAGGCACAGAAAAAAAATTTTTTTAATACCAATCTTTTAAAAATGCAAATCTGATCCTATTACCTACTCAAATATTCTTCACTGGCTTCTAATTACTCTTAAAGACAGAAACCCTTCACTGGTCCTAAAAGATCCTACATGATTTGGCTCACACCCACCATTTTCAAGCATGGTTTTTGAGCCACTTTTCCCTCCAGCCTTTCTTTCTTTGATGCTTCAGGGCATTCCACAAGCTGTGGTCCTCACTCCATCCCTTGAGATACTAATTAGCTGAGAAATGCTTAAACAAAATAGAAATAAATTATTCTTCACAAGTAATAACAAAAAGTCTTTTTTTTCTTCTCCTAATGGATCTAGGTGATGATCAGCAAAGGCTGCTAAAATAATTAAATGAGGGCGCCTGGGTGGCTCAGTTGGTTAAGCAACTGCCTTCAGCTCAGGTCATGATCCTGGGGTCCTGGGGATCGAGCCCCACATCGGGCTCCCTGCTCAGCTGGGAGCCTGCTTCTCTCTCTCCCTCTGCCTGCCACTCCCCCTGCTTGTGTGCGCGCACTCTCTCTCTGTGTCAAATAAATAAATAAAATCTTTAAAAATAATAATAAAATAAAATAATTAAATGAAAGGCTGATGGGGAAACGAATGAATGTGCTAACAACACTTACAACACAGTGGTCAATCCTAGGAGCACTAAAAGTGGGACAGCCAGACATGTATGTGGGTTGCAATAGGAAATAGTGAACACCATGTGTTTTTGGCACTATTTGCCAAGAAAACTGAACCTGAATCTAATCAGGCTCTAGAATAGTACTATTTAATTCAGTAACCACTACCCACATGCGACAATTTAGCACCTGAAATGTGACTGGTCCAAACTGAGATGTGCTGTAAATATAAAATACATGCTAATTTCAAAGCCTTAGTATGTAAAATATTTCATTAAAATTTTAAAAATTAACATGCTGAAATACCATTTGGGATATTTTAAGTCACAAAAATATGTTATGAAAATTAATTTCCCCTATTGCTTACCTTTTTTTTAACTATAGCTACCAGAAAATTTTAAATTATATGTGTGACTCACATTACACCTCCATTGGACAATGTGTCTCTTAATTCAACCACAAGTTTACAGGAAATACAGATGATGAAAGGAATGTTATATAGCACCATGGGGACACAATCAGCCAAAAGCACACACCATACAAATCTAGGAAATTCTAAAGGATAATTCAAAGTTTATGGGTGAAATGATGTCCTATTTGGAATTTGGAAAGAAAGGCGGGGGGAGGATGAAACAAAAACGGCAAAATGTTTATTACTACTACTGCTAAAGTTGAAAGATGCTATATGAGAGTAAATTACATTATTCTATTTTCATATATGTTCGGAAAGTACCCCTAATAAAAAGTTAATCCAAAACCCACAGGTAATTCCTATTCATTTTTCAGGCCCAAGCTTAACTGTTACTTCTTCAGGGAACATTTCCCTGACCTCGCACTCTCACCATAGCCAATACATTCCTTTACAATACACTTAGTAAAATGTAGTTAGTATTTGTGTTATTGTCTAATATCTGTAGCCCTCACTACACTAAATACTTTCTGTTAACAACAAAAACCTTAGGCCTCAGATACTATCTTTCTAAATTCCATTAGTAATGCCACTCTCTCACTGAGAAAGAGAGAGAATATATATGAATCAGTGACCCACTACTGCCTATTAGAAAAACTGCATATTTTTAGTCTGGCACTTAAGACTACCCATAATCTGAGTTCTAATCTTATTTTCAGTCTTATCTTTCACAACACCACTAAAGCTCTTCACTGTGGTCAAACTGTACCAAACATGCTGTTATGGGCTGAAACCCATAATTCTTATATTGCCCCCCTCCCCAATTCTTATGTTGAAGTCCTAACCCTCAATATTTTAAAATGTTACTGTATTTGCAGATAGGGTCTTTAAAGAAGTAATTAAGTCAAAATGAAGTAATTACAGTGGGCTCTAATCAAATGATTAATGTACTTATAAGAAGTAGAAATCTGGGGGCGCCTGGGTGGCTCAGTCAGTTAAGTGACCAACTCTTATTTCATCTCAGGTCATGATCTCAGGGTCATGGGACTGGGCCCCGAGTCAGGCTCTGCGCTCAGAAGGGAGTCTGCTTGAGATTCTCTCCCTCCTTCTGCCCTTCCCCACACCCCCCTATGCTCTCTCTCTCTCCTTCTAATAAATAAATAACTCTTAAAAAAAAAAAAAAAGTAGTGAAATCTGGATACAGATTCACCCAGAAGGAAGAGCATGTGAAGACACAGGGAGATGGCCATCTTCCCAAACGAAGGAGAGAGGTCTTAGAGGAAACGAATCCTGCCAACACATTGATCTTAGACTTCTAGCCTCTAGAATTGTGAGAAAATAAACTTCTGTTGTGTAAGCCCCCCAAGCTATGGCACTTTGTTACCATAGCCATGACAAACTAATACACATGCCTTACACATACGTTCTTGAGGTTTCTTCCATTCTGTTATTATCACTAATGATAACAGCTGTTACCATGAGTACTATAATTTTAGTAGTTACTTCACATACATTTAATCTTCACAACATTTCATAAAGTAGGTATCATCCCCATTTTATTAATAAGAAAACAGAACCTCCAAAAGGCTTGGTAAATAGCAAAGGAGAAATTCTATTCAGACTTGGCTTTTATTTATTTATTTAAGATTTTATTCATCTATTTGACAGAGAGAGACACAGCGTAAGGGAACACAAGCACGGGGAGAGGGAGAAGCAAGCTTCCCGCTGAGCGGAGAGCCTGATGTGGGGCTCAATCCCAGGACCCTGGGATCATGACCTGAGCTGAAGGCAGACACCCAACGACTGAGCCACCCAGGTGCCCCCAGACTTGGCTTTTAATGCATATTGTTTTTGTTTTTTAAAGATTTCATGAGAGGGGGGAGGGACAGAGAGAGAAGCAGACTCCCTGCTGAGGAAGGAGCCCACGACAAAAGGCTCAATCCCAGGACCATGAGATCATGACCTGAGCTGAAGGCAGACACTTAACCAACTGAACCACCCCGGCGCCCCTAATGCATATTGTTTTTTAAAAAGCCTTTCCTCATCATCTCCATTTATCTAAATTCTACCCACTCTTCAAAGTCATGCTCTTTTTCCATGAAGTCTTCTGAAATATTCATTTGGAAAAATGTTCCCTTTTTCTAAATTTGGGAACTTCTCAATGAATTATTAATTGTGTAAAATCTGTTTTCTTGAGTACATGTTCTATTTTAAAAAGCATTTTGGATTTATTTTCCATTTACTATCCCATAGAGCTAGATCTTTTTTTTTTTTTAAGACTTTATTTATTTATTTGACAGAGCGAGATATAGCAAGAGAGGCAACACAAGCAGGGGGAGTGGAAGAGGGAGAAGCAGACTCCTGGCTGAGCAGGGAGCCCGATGCGGGGCTTGATCCCAGGACCCTGGGATCATGACCTGAGCTGAAGGCAGATACTTAATGACTAAGCCACCCAAGCGCCCCCCATAGAGCTAGATCTTAACATTTCTTTACATCCCTATCTAATAACTAGTCAGACTTGTAAGTGGTGACTAAATATTTAAGAGATAGGTTATCCTGAAGTTGACATGGTAAAAGTCAAAAGGATTATTAGAAAAGTAGAGATTTTTTTTTTTTTTAGTAACTACTGGGTAAAAGTACAGAAACAAAATAATTTTCATATGAACACTATTGTATTTGTAAGGTTGCTACTACATATAAGAACAGCTGAGTAACAACAAAAGTCTTTGTAATTCCCTAAAATATACAAGTATCAAAAAGATGAGTATAGTGTTTTCCCCTGAAACAAAGCTACATTTTTCAAAAATTCTAAAAACTGGTGGCCTTATTCCAAAAACTGTTAGGGAATATTGTAAAGCCATGTATAAATCAAAGAATTATGCAAAACTGAGGAACCATCACGTAAAAGCAAACCAGGTATGTTCTACTAAGATAACTATCTAGTAAATATAGGCAACATCTTTGACTTTTCGTTATTAAAGATCTCCAGTTTCAGATTTTTCAGGGAAAACTGGACTATAAAAATTAAAAGGAATTCTTCATAGAGCTAGATCACAAATACACAAAAGTTCATTGTATTTTAATATATGTTTCTTTTTTTTTTTTAAATATTTTATTTATTTATTTGAGAGAGAGAGTGAGAGAGAGAGCACATGAGAGGGGGGAGGGTCAGAGGGAGAAGCAGACTCCCCGCCAAGCAGGGAGCCCGACGCGGGACTCAATCCTGGGACTCCAGGATCATGACCTGAGCCGAAGGCAGTCACCTAACCAACTGAGCCACCCAGGTGCCCTTTAATATATGTTTCTAAGAACTTACATAGTGAATATTTTTGGGGAAGCAATACCAAATAGGAAATCTTTTTTCATTTCAATGAAAAGTAACTTTATTTTCAATGCCACTCACCCTGTCGGTCAAATAATGAATCAACAGCTGTGGCTTTATTTGAAGGAGCTTCTGTGATTGGTTTGAGATATGTTCTATATCCTTTTAAAATAGATGCCATAAAACGCAAAAATGCCTCTTGAATTTCCATCTCAAGTTGTGTTGTCTTCTTTTGCCAGGAGAAATCTGCTTCGATTGGCGTCATCTCAATTGCCGAACCTTCTTGAGTTTTTCGGTGAACTGACAAATGAAGAGAAAATGGCATTAATATATGATATTAGACAAGTAATGATTAAACAACTAAGAAAGTTGTCAAAATAAAACACATGACTTTCTGAAATTTCTCTTCATTAATGTAAAGGGATCATTGGCAGGTGCTAACAGGGAGGCTCAAGCAGACAGGACACAAAGAACATATTCAAAAAAATCATGAACCACAATATTAATGTCTTAGTACTGAAATTTTGTTTTGTAATGAGATTCCTTTTAAGCAGAGCAAAATTATGCTTAAATTTAAGAATTTTCTTATATTCTTTCATTAAAAATATTCCTTTCTCCTCACATTTACCTGAAGATAGCTGGGGATACAACTTCTTTAAGGTACTAAGCAGATTTTTGCATGGCTTTTTGGGAAGCTGCTTCCAGTTCATGTTCTTCTTTTCATCTGATCTATTAAATAAAAACATAACTAGTACAATCTGTTATAACTTCTTTTTACTTAGCAAAATTTTTACATCAAACTAAAAAAGAAAATGGAAAAGGTATTTTTGGTCAAATCACAGTTGACATGGACAGTCTGAATAAATGGTTTTCAAGGAAGTTCTCTTTACATTTCAAACAACCTCAGTCAAATTTGGTCATCTCACTCTAATGCTCTAACACAGATTTTCAAGGCTGGAGCTATGAATTTCTTGCTTCAAAAGTTACATTTTAGAATTATAATATTTTAAGTGACAAACTTAATTGATAACTTCAAACTACCTATTAGAAGCAAATCTCAATAAATATCAGAGAGTAATATGTAAAGCATATTCTGACTATAAATCAAATAGCATTTAAGGAAAAAAAACTTGGAAATTCAAAAGAATACTTCTAAGTAATGCATGAGTCAAAATATTTTAATAGAAATAGGAAACATTTAAGACTCAACAAAGATGGTGTGCCTGGGTGGCTCAGTCAGTTGAGAGACTGACTCTTGGTTTTGGCTCAGGTCGTGATCTCAGGGTCCTGAGATAGAGCCCCCACATCGAGCTCCATGCTCAGCATGTAGTCTGCTTGAGAGTCTCTCTCCCTCTCTCTCTCTGCCCCTCCTCCTCATGCTCTCTCAATCCTTCTCTCTAAAATAAATAATCTTTAAAAAAGAAAAACTCTACAAAAATGAAAGCCTATATATCAACAAGCGCCACAGCTAATGCTATATACATCATCAAGCCAATATCATTTATGAACATCAATGCAAACATCTTAAGATTTTTAGAAAATTTAATCTGCTAGGATATAAAAAAATAAGATGATATTTATTTCAGGAATGTAAAGATTATTCACTATTAATTGATTTTATAATGTTATTTACCACACAGAAAACGGGAGAAACAATCCTCATCTCAATAGTTGTACAAAAGCATAAAATTCAACACCTATTTAAGAGTTTTTATTTTTAAATCATTATGTAGAAGTAGAAGGAAAGTTCCTTATTATTAAGCAATCAAAACCCTCGAGTGGAGCTAGCAAACCTTTTCTATAAAAGGTCAGATATTATGTTTTGAAGACCATACAGCCTCTGTCACAGCTTGTCAAATGTACCATTATAGCATGAAAGCAGCCTCACAGATTATGTAAATAAATGAATTTTGTAATTTTATCTACAAAAATAGTCCACGGGCCAGATGTCAATTCTTGCTTAAAGCAAAAGTCATACTAAATGATAGGGTGCTCAAAGCATTCTCTTTAAAATTAGGAGTAAGACAAAATAAATAAATAAATAAAATTAGGAGTAAGGCAAGGGGCACCTGGGTGGCTCAGTGTGTTAAGCGTCTGCTTTCAGCTCAGGTCATGATCCCAGGGTCCTGGGGTTGAGCCCCATATCGGGTTCCCTGCTCGGCATGGAGTCTGCTTCTCCCTCTGCCACTCCCCCTGTTTGTATTCTCTCTCTCTGTCTCTCTGACAAATAAATAAAATCTTTAAAAATAAATAAATAAAATAAAATAAAATTAGGAGTAAGACAAGATACCAGCTATGACTACACTGTTCAACACTATCCTGGGATCCTAACCAGAGAGTTAAGATAAGAATTTAAAAATATATAAGGATTGGGGCGCCTGGGTGGCTCAGTTGGTTGGGTGTCTGCCTTCGGCTCAGGTCATGATCCCGGGGTCCTGGGATCAAGCCCCGCGTTAGGCTCCTTGCTCAGTGGAGAGCCTGCTTCTCCCTCTCCCACTCCCCGTGCTTGTGCTCTCTCTCTCTTACTCTCTTTCTCTCTGTCAAATGAATAAATTTAAAAAATCCTTAAAAAAATAAGATAAAAATATACAAGGATTGTACATAATGTGATTGTTTATAGCCAGAAAACTGAAGAGAATTTACAGGCAAAATAGAATTCAATTAAGTTGCTGTGTAGCAGACTACTACATGAAAATCAACAGCATTTCTATACTGCAGCAACAAATAGAAAACGTAATTTAAAATATCATTACAGTACAATAAAAGCCACAGAGCACTCAGGAATAAGTAAGTCTAAAAAAAGATGTTCATGGTCTTTATGGAGAAAACTGCAAAGTTTATTGAAAAAAAAATGTAAAAAGATCTATGAAGTAAAATACTACATACATGGGTAAGGAGACTGTAACAAAAAGAAGTCATTTGCCCCCAAATTAATCTATAAATTCAATAGAATTCTAACCAAAATCACAGCATAATTTTGCATGGAACTTAACAATATATTAAAATTTATACAGAAAAGCAAAAGATCAAATATAGTCAAAACAATTTTAAAGAACAAGGGAAAAGAAAGGCACCTGCCATCTCACAACTTTTTTTTTTTTTTTAAGATTTTATTTATTTATTCGACAGAGACAGAGAGTGAGCAAAGTAGGCAGAGAGGCAGGGAGAGGGAGAAGCAGGCTCTGCACTGAGCAGAGAGCCCGATGTGGGGCTGGATCCCAGGACCCTGAATCATGACCCAAGCCAAAGGCAGATGCTTAACAATTGAGCCACCCTAGGCGCCCCATCCCACAACGTTTTTTAACATTACTGAGATATAATTCATACATAATTCACCCATCTGAAACGTGCAACTTGATGGTTTTTTAGCATATTCATAGGGTTGTGTAACAACCCACAAATTTTAAAATATTTCCATCACCTCAAAAAGAAACCCTGCACCCCCCACCTCAGTCATTAACTTCTAATTCCCCCATCTTCCTATTCCAATGCAAACACTAACCTACTTTCTCTGTCTATAGATCTGCCCTGGATATTTAGTATAAATGAGAACATATAGCTCTTTTAGCACAATGTTTTCAAGGTTCATTCATGTTTTAGACAACTTAATTTTTTTATATATATTTTATTTATTTGACAGAGAGAGAGAGAGAGAGCAAAGCAGGGGGAGCAGCAAGCAGAGGGAGAAGCAGGCTCTCTGCGGAGCAGGGAGCCTGATGCAGGGCTCCATCCCAGGACCCTGGGATCATGACCTGAGCCAAAGGCAGACGCTTAACTGACTGAGTCACCAGGCGTCCTTTAGACAACCTGACTTTTAAGCCATTAAGACAGTGTTATACTAGCAAGAGGCTAAAAGAGACCAAAGGAACAGAATAATAAGCATATTATAAATATAAAATTGATATGCAAATTAATATATAATATGGAGTTGTAAAATATAAAATATGTATAAATATAAAATATAAAAATTGATATGCAATGATATTAACACTAAAGACCACTGGGAAGAGATGAACTGGTTATCCAATATACAGTACTATGTGAGAATTATTTACTCATGTAAGAAAAATGAAATGGTACTTCTATGCCATATCATACAGTAATACCAAGTTCAACAGAATTAAGGCCCTAAGTGAGAAAGGCAAAACCTTACAAATTTAAGAATATCCACAATAGGGGTGCCTGACTGGTTCAGTCAGTAGAGCATGTGACTCTTGATCTCAGGGTTGTGAGTTCGAGCCCCTATGTATGGCATGGAGTTTACTTAAAATAAAAAATTTAGAAAAAGAAGGAAAGGAAGGGAAGGAAGGAAGGAAGAAGGAAGGAAGGAGAAAGAAAGAAAGAAAGAAAGAAAGAAAGAAAGAAAGAAAGAAAGAAAGAGAAAGAAAAATAATATTTATGACCTCAAGGCAGAGGATTTCATAATCAAGAACTAAAAATAACAACCAATAAAAAGAAACTAATAAATTTGATCAATTAAAATAAGCTTCTGTTCATCAAAACACACCATAAATAGAATGTAAATACAAATCACGTGTGGGAGAAGCTATTTGCAAAGCATATAACAGACCAAGAATTAACCAGATTATATAAAGAACTGATACAAATCAAAAGAAGAAGACAAATAATCTAATAGAAAAATGCACCAAAAAAAGGAAAATCCAATTCACAGAGAGGAAAACCAAAGGGCAAAAAGAAATTAAAATTCCCCATTTGCTACTAATTAGGGAAATATGAATTAAAGGCACAATGAGATCCCACTGCCAACAAATTAGCAAAAATTTTAAAGTCTGACCACAACAAGTATTGGCAAAGGATAGAACAAAGAGAATTCTCATTTGCTTCCAAAGAGGAGGTAAACCTGGAAGGGTAATATGACATTAGTTGTGTCTACAAACCGACATTAGCTCTTCTATGTATATACTTCAGGAGAATTCTGCTGACGGACTCAAATAAATATGCACAATAATAATCAGAGAAGCCTGTTCAAAATTACAAAAAATGTAGGTACAATCTAAATACCCAGCAACACTGATAAACCCTAAAAATGAAGTGGAGCTACATGTATCAACACAGATAAACCTCATGAAGAATGCCAAGTAAAAAAGCAAGTCAGAGGAAACTATACAAACATATAAAATTTTTAAAGCATGCAAAATATCATTTAAACCAATATATGTAATAATAAATGTTTCTAAAACATATGGAAATGATAATGATAAACACCAAATTCAAGATAACACTAAACCAGGAGCAAGACATGTTGCAGAGGACTATCCAGCGTTTCAAATTCACTGGCAATATTCTATTCCTTAATTTGTGTGATGGATATATGGGAGTTTACATTATTCTATATAATTCTTGGGTATCTACAACATTTCATAATTATTTAAGTACAACTGAGCAAAGAGCTCAAAGTTACTTTAGAAAACCAAGTTTTTGATCGATAGAAATGTTACATAAGTTACTTAAAACTGGGAAAAATTAAGAATCTCCATAATATTATTTTATTCAGAATAGTAATTAAAGTAAGGCAAACATCTGAGTTACAGCTTCATAAATGATCATTTCCAAAAGCACCACAATGTATACAACCCTGAAATAATTGTTTTTCAGGGATAGCAGCTGAAAAACAACAAAACGTGTGCTACAGGAAGTATTTAGTGGTTCATTACTTCAAAGCTTTAAGTAAGTCAAAGTATACATAGTAAAGAGCTACCATAATTATACAGTTTCAAAAATAAATGGCAGATCCATTTCAAAAAAATTTTAAGTGATAGCAAATGTTTTCTTCCTTCTTTACATATTCCCTCACTTAGGGATATTTTCCCAATCTATTCCACTGCTGTTACCACTGAAGTCTCACCACAATTCTTACTATTTATTTTCTGCCAATCTAGAACAGTAAAGAATAAAAGTACTCCAGGATCTGGAGTTTGGCACCAACACTAAGGAATTTTCAACAATTACTGCCCTTTCCCACTTTTTTTCCTGAGGTTGGGGGGAAGGAGACTGGCTCTTGAACATTGACCCAGAGCTGCTTTTATTAATGTCATACTCTCATCTCTGAATCCTCAGCTACACCACTGCTGTACATTTTATCACCTCTAGTAAACACAAAGTATGACTTATTTTTAATATAAATTTCTCTGCAGTAAGGAGTGCCTGAGTGGCTCAGTCGGTTAAGCGTCCGCCTTCGGCTCAGGTCATGGTCCCAGGGTCCTGGGATTGAACCCTATGTCCGGCTCCCTGGTCAGTGGGGAGTCTGCTTGTTCCTCTCCCTCTGCTCCTCCCCATCCCTTTCCCTGCTTGTGCTCTCTCTCTCTCAAATAAATAAATAAAAATCTCTAAAACAAAAAAATTCTCTGGAATAAAATAGATTCAAATTCCTAAAAAATTCAAATCTTGACAATGAAGGAAATGGCATAATATCATCCTATATTCTAACTAAACTCAAACAGGTAAACTCATTTTTTCAAAGCTTATATATGGAATTTGAATTAAACCTAGAAAGCATATCATCTCTTGAGCTCTGAAAGCAGTGTTTAACCTTTTTTTTCCAAATCCATATTCTCTTTTGACAAATATTTTCTGCGTACTGCCAACATTATTATCAAAATATAAACTAATGTTGAACATGTTCTTTTCCAAAGTTTCCAGGATTCTGACAGTTGCCCTCATTGAGAATCACTGTATTAAACATGAAAACTTATTAACAACATTAAAAATAGCATATTTCTAGATGCTTTCAATGAGCTGTAACTACAGATGGGTGAAAATATAAATGGGAGATAATAGAAAAAGAATCAACTTACACATATAACATGTTTGTATCCAAGTCAATGCAAACAACATCTTGTGGTGGGTCATGAAGATCAAAATACCTCGAGTCAACTCCAACTATAAATGGGAAAGGTGCACTAAGGACTGCGGCCAGTGAGAGAGGACAAAGGGGAATATATGGGCACTGCCACTGAAATGGAAAGATCATCTGGGAAAAAAGTTTTAAAAAATTAACCAAACTTGAAATTTGCAATGAAAAGTATGTCATTAACTAATATTACTGAAAGGGACCATTAAAAAGCAGCGAAGTGTAGTTTCTTTTACCTTACACTTCATTCCGAAAACTAAATGACTATAAAATATTACGAAGCAGTACTATGAACCAATGTGATTAAAATCTTCAAGCATGACAATTATCACAAGCACAATAAAAATGCTAACAGCTCTTTGCATGCTAATTCTTTTAATGCCATATAAAACCCCCATCCACCTTTTTTGGAAAAAGTCAAAGCAGAGAGAGAAAACTGCCCCCCAAAATTATAAAACAAACTCATGATCTTTAACTCTTATACGTTTCATTCTCAAAATAACCTTTGACTAAAATCCAATTAAGAGATCCAAGGACTGAAAAATAAACGATTCTCTTAAAAATGTATTAGTTAATTGAAAATTTCAATAAAAAATTTCCTAACTGCTCAAATAAACACAAAATGATCCAACTTCAATGAAGCTGGGCATCTTAAAAAATACTAGTCATGGCGCCTGGGTGGCTCAGTTGTTATGCGTCTGCCTTCGGCTCAGGTCATGGTCCCAGGGTCCTGGGATCGAGCCCCGCATCTGGCTCCCTGCTCACCGGGAAGCCTGCTTCTCCCTCTCCCACTCCCCCTGCTTGTGTTCCCTCTCTTGCTGTGTCTCTCTCTGTCAAATAAATAAAGTCTTTAAAAATAAAAATATTAATCAATATAAAACATTCCTCAAGAATCTTTACAAAGCTCTACCTTGTGTCATATGTGAAAATTCAAGTTTTGATAAATTAAAAAAGACTAAAATTTTCACTATCAGCTAATATGAAAATTCTAATCACTGATAAAAGTTTTCTTCTACTATAAAAATCCTTGCTGTCCCTTCTCTATCATCACTTATCCCAAAGAAATGCCTATAGCATTTATTACATCTGCCAGTTATTCCAGATGGTTGTTCAGCACAGGATTTTGTCTTCAATCATTTATTGACGTGTCAAATATTTCAGCACTTAGTATGAGCCAAGCATTGTTCTAGATGAGGCTGTAACAGTGAATAAAACAAAGACTGCTGCCGTCCTGAGATTTATAGTTTAGCAAAAGGGTCAGCAAACTCTGTACAAGAAAGATAGGAAATACTTTAGGCCTCTTGAGCCATATTGTCTCTCACCAATATCTAACTTTGTCTCCACACATGAAAGCAGTCATAGGAAGTACGCAAATAAATGACCTATGTTTCAGTAAAACTTTATTTACAAACAGGTGGCAAGCTGGATTTGACCAGTGGGCCATAGTTTGCTACCACCTGGTCTAGCAAAAATAAACAGAGGACATGTATGTATGCGTGTGTGTATATGTATATATATTACACACACACACACACACACACCCTATCATGAAGTGCTAAGTGCTACGGAAAAAGAAAAAGGAAAGCCAAGTGATGGGGATTAGAGTTCAGAACAGGAAAGAGGAGAGCAGGTTCTACCGTTAAAGAGGCCAAACAGGATAGACATGGCTAAGAAAGTGACAACTGAGCCTACACCCAAAGGAGGTATCTAGGAGACAATTAGGAGGAGAGTGCTTCTAAGAGAAGGAACGGTTAGAGCAAAGGTCCTACAGTATGGGGCCTGCCTACTATGCTTGAGGAGGAGCTTGTGTATTGGAGCTGAGTAAGCAGGGGGCAGAGTAGCAAGAAATCAGATCAGAGGACAGACAGAACCACTCCCAAAGGACCTTGCAAGGACTTCAGATACCTACAGTGAAAACTATCTTCCATTCAACAAAAGGTACATTACCCCTGCAACTATGTAAAAAAATTTTAAAACAAGACTAACAGCAAAATGTGACACCCTTGTATACACCTTTGACTTTTACAGCTCAATCATAAATAGGGTCATTTTTACAAAACTACTCAGTGGTTTCATCAATGTTTGCTATGGGGCTTCATTAATTCTTTGATATTCTTTGATATTCAAATCATTCTCCTTCTGAAGGACTTACCCTGTCATCATTCCTTTCCATTTTCTCTTCTTTAAATGGTAAATTGACAATATTCCTTTATCAATGTTTTTGCATGCAATTCAGGCAGTTCTCCAACAACTGCCAAATTCTCATTTATCAATGGTTTTGCATGCATTTCAAGCAGTTCTCCGACATCAGTTACATAAATTTCATGCAATCTTGCATTTTGCGCAAGATTTCCAATTACACATTACAATTTTTCCACCTGTTCTTACACTATATTGCTGAAATCAATCAAGAGACTGGGCCAAAGAGATTCTGAGCAAGGAACATAGGTAAACACTAATGTTTTACAGGACGGAGGGGGAACTTTCTAAAACTGTTCAGCTCCTTAACAAATATTTTCACATTACAATGGCTTTTGCTTTCATATGCAACTGTGGAGGTCTGGAAAATTAATACACAATGAGGACCTCTGCTCCCCATAAACTATCCCACATTGGTTACTTCAGTTTTTAGTCATAGTACCATTTCTCTGACCAAATTAAGATCTTGGAAACATATCCCATTTGTTGATTTAACAGGTATTTATTAAGTGCTTACTTACTCCATGCTAGTAAGCTGTGATAAGTGCTGAGGACACAGGGATAATAAAGAGATAGGTCTTTATTTCCATGCGAATTACATTCTTAATATGGGGAAGGGAAAACAGGACAGTCAACTATTTTAAATTAAACATATAATGAAAAATAAAGTTGGAGAAATGGAACATCCAAAATTCTATACTATGATCTATAAAGCCCAAATGATCAGACATCTAATTGCAATGGGAAGCCATCAAAAAGCAGAGGCAGACTTGATTTATATTTTACATAACAGCTAAGCATTTGTACATTATCCTATTTCATAATCATATAGAATTTCCTATGTTACTGGCTCACAATAATCTGCTTAAAAGTTAAAACTGGGAGTGATTAACTGTGTAATTCATTTGCATAATTTTAGGGCAGATGAAATTGGCCAGTCTCTTGTTTAATACAATAAGATTTATTCATGAGTTTTGTTATGTAATCATATAGATTCTCTGAAGTACTCTAATATATGAAAAACCAGAAACTGAAATTTTTTCTCAAACAGGTCACCTTTTTTTCTTTATACTTACTGTGTCCCTTTGCCACTCTATTATATTTATGTTAAACATTTCCTAGTAATTTCAAAGTTGCTTTCATTGAAGGAAATTTCCCTTTAGAGTAAAAATTCTGTCAGTTATCCTGTACTATATGGACAATTCTATACTCACGGCTACGACAGCTTCGGCTACTCCAGTCAACACAGCTGGCCTGAGAGAATGTAGCAGAATCTTACTCTCAAGTAAAACAAAGAGCAGCAGTGTCGCACAATTCTCAGGACCCAGATTCATTAACAAAATGCTGAAGTTTGCTCCACTAGAAGAAAAGAGAAAAAGATGATTATGAACTATTTCGCTAAAACATGTTATAATTTGCTTATTAAATTATTTCCTAAATATTAGGATTTAGAATCTAGTGCTAATTTCAAGTCCTGATTTAGTTATCACTGAGAAGTAGCAAATTTAATGAGATAATACAACAGAATGAATCAAACTCAACCTTTGGTAACAAAGGGGAGTTTATCAGGGAAGATTTTCCCAAAGAATCATTTGAGTTACGCTCAAAAGAATGGAAGTTAGGGAAAAGCCAACATATGCAGAGGCAATGAGGCAAGAAAAAGCTACCATCATTTCCAGGAAATTGAAATACACTTATTGTGACTAAAGCATAGTAAGAGGGGCAAAAGATTATGTCAAAATAGAAACAACACAATTATATTTGCATTCTCAAAAGGACACCTGGCTGCAGTGTGGATAATGAAATAAAAGAAAAAGAAAAGAGTACCTAAAAGGGTAATAACAAAGTTGTCCAGGTAAGAGATCATACTATCCTGGACTAGTGATGCAGATGAACAGAAGCTAACAGATTTGAGATATCTGGGGAGGTTAAAATCAGTTCACCCCGAATATTTAGCTATGAACTGGATATGAGGAGGGGAGAGGAAAGGAAAACGGAGGTATTCCCTACACCCAATCTTGCAACACTCATCCATATTACATTTTTTAAATGGTGGATGGCCCACCATCCATCCAGCTATCAAAGATAGAAACATTAAGGCTATCCTTATATAAAAGATAACACTTAACTTTATTATCCTAACCCTTAAAATATTTTAAAGCATTCTGCTCCCAAGTGAATGAAAATATCATTTTATTATTTTTTTTAAAGATTTTATTTATTTATTTGAGAGAGAGAGAATGAGAGACAGAGAGCACGAGAGGGAAGAGGGTCAGAGGGAGAAGCAGACTCCCCGCTGAGCAGGGAGCCCGATATGGGACTCGATCCCAGGACTCCAGGATCATGACCTGAGCCGAAGGCAGTCGCTTAACCAACTGAGCCACCCAGGCACCCGAAAATATCATTTTAGATAGTATTAATTACCTTAGTGGTAAAGGTGTAGAAACTGGCTGTGATAATATTAATGCATCATGGACTGAAAGCTTCAAAAAAAAAGAAAAGATAAATTATCAAGCCAATCTTGAAACCTAAATATTTATATCAAGGGTAATACAGAAAGTAGTTTAATATGCAAACTGACATAGTTTCAGAAATATACTAAGATATAAAACGGTAACTGTATTTACTCAGAGGTATTATATTAGTTCTTTTAAATTAAATGGTTAATTCAACTGAATTTGATTCAGTTAACTGTTTAAAACATAGTTATTTTAAAATTATGAAATAACTGCTTTTTAAAAGCTTCAAGTTTATTTACTCTATAGACTGGCAAGCATTTGGCAATCGATTACTATATATTAATATCTGCTGAAGTATATAACTGAAGTACATTCAAGATTAACAATATTTGCCTTAATGCCACCATATCATATATAATGTTGATAACATCTTAGAAAACAATTTTTAAAGAGCTTGCCTCTATAGATAGATCAGTACCACTCGAAGTGCCAGTCTGCAAACTGTTACTGGTCCAGGAAAAGATTGTATATAAATGGAGAGCAAACCATTTAGAAACTTTAATGGCAATATGACACTGCTCCTACCCCCAAGTACATGATCAGAGGGCTCTTGTCTTTGGACAGGGCACAGACATGTCCATGTCTACACTGCTCACATGGTAAGGTGCACTTTTCACAAGCTGTAAACTTATATAGGTCTGCCACTGATTGGAAATAAAAAGAAACTGGTCCTTTAACATAGAAAGTCTGAAGACCACTTTCATAGACTATTTCACTTTTTCCCTTCAACCACAGATCACTTCATATTTAATATTTATTAGTTGCTCTGATTGAAAAACATGCCCATAACGCATTATTAAAATTAGCTACATAAAAGCCAATGATGATAATGTCATGAATCAAAGATTATATTTACTCCAATTCTGACCACCCAAATAAAAGATAAAATACAGGAAATTCAAGGACTTTATGGACACATATTTTTCCACCTCAAACTCAAAGGGCCATAGAATCCACTCTGCAATGACTAGCAAGAACATATGCAGAGCTTCCCTCAAAAATATTTGTTTTTCATTACCTGTACAAGGATTCTTGGTCTTTGTGGTGAAGGAAAAGGGATGTTTTGCATGAAGTGTGAAATGTGCCTAGAAAAAAATTTGAAATACAGATCATAATTACTTTTCTAAAATGCTTCATAGATTTTAACAAATTTTAAATATTATATATATATCATTCCAGATCTGACAAAACCACTTACCTAAAATTTATGTTAAATAAATTTATCTAGTGTAAATAAATGTATTCATCCCACTAAACTTCTGAAATGCACAATATATTTCCTGATTAAAAGTCCATATTGATATACCCTAATATTGCCAGGAAAATAAAAATAACACAAATATAGCTTTCATGAAAGAAGCTAATTTTTAATGTCTGGTTACCAGTGCCAGTATGGGGAGCAACTAACTGCAATACAATAAATTAAAACTAATACTGAATTTAATCCCAATAATTAATGTTAATTAAATATTAATTTAACCAATACAGTTCTTTTACTGTAACTCTGGGCAAACCACTTACCCTATTTCTCCACCTACAAATAATGCTTCTTAAGTTTCTCCAAAGCTTTGAGCTCTTAGGAGCCACTAACATACAAAGTATTATTTCATCTGAGAAAAAATATTGATCGCATACACTGATTTTATTTCCTCAAACTATTCATAGAACCTTAATTTTTCAAAAGGTTGCTAACTTGTCCCTAACATGAAGTTTTACTTCAAACAATTTTAAGCTAACCTGAAAGTTCAAAGTTAAATCTAGAACTATGAACTATTAGTTTGGCATCCTAAGAGTACAACATGAAAGTCAAATAAATGCCCTTACCTTTCCACTAAACTAGTATGCTTTGCTGATATTCTTTCTGCTATAATGTGAAATTTCTGAAATTGTATGAAAAGTCCGTTTACGCATACTATATTTCCATAAAGCTCTTGACACCTCTTGTTTGTTAGGATAAATAAATCATTAACTATAATAAACAAAAGTCAGTGTGCCACTAGAAGTCAGAAAACCTGTTTTGTTTTTTTTTTTAAAGTAATCTCTACACCCAGCGTGGGGGCTTGAACCCATGACCCTGAGATCATGTCAGATGCTCCACTAACTGAGCCAGAGGATCATGGGGGAAGGGAGGGAAAAATAAAACAAGACGAAATTAGAGAGGGAGACAAACCATATGAGCCTCTTAACTATAGGAAACAAACTGAGGACTGCTGGGGGAGGGATGGGGTAACGGGGTGATGGGCATTAAGGAGGGCACGTGACGTAATGAGCACTGGGTGCTGTATGACTAACGAATCACTGAACTCTACCTTTGAAACTAGTAATATAGTATGTGCTAATTAATTGAATTTAAATTTAAAAAAAAAGAAAAAAACAAAGGCAGCAGCTCCACATATATTTTTCTTGCTTACAGAGTATTTCCATGACAAAGGGAATTACAAATAGAGTGAAAAACTAGGATCTCTCAATGCTAAAACCAAAACCTCACTTTTAGCATCAATTAACTCACCCTTATTAATTTCTACATCAGTTTAGAGATGCTTTATAGTTAGAACCAGGAATGTCCATTTGTATGGTTCAGGTGTATGTGTATAATAGCTATTTTTCTCTTGGTTATTAGAGAATGAATAGGAAGGACACACACAGTGCACTGTATAATGAGTTCCTTCTTCAGTTGAATTCTCAAAAGATTATTATTTTATCATTCTAACCACCACTCCTCAATTTTAAAACCAATGATTCAGGTGAAGAAGGGAACAAGTAAAAAAGTAAGGTGACTGATCCTTTCTCCCTTCAAACTTTTCTGCTTAAACTCAGGTAAACAATGAAATGTATACATATACACCCAGTTTTCCACCAGACATCTTTCTAATCATTATACATACTTTTCAATGGGAAGAGGATGTGGTCCAGACACAGAAAGTTTGTAGATAAACATGAGAAATTTTCTAAAAGCTTCAAAAAAAGGCCAGTGTGAGAGTAAACAAATGCATTTGTTTGAATTGATGGATTTGGAGACCACTTTTCTCTCCACAGGGGTCAACAGGCCCAGTTGCATAAGCTGTTTCTCTGTCAGAAGTTCCCGAGAGTAAGGTTCATAAAACTGGATGGCAGCTCCATATACCTACAAAGCAACAGAATTCCATCACAAAACTTGAGTTTGTTTTTAAAAATTTCTCTTTATCTCTGATTACAAAAGGAACACTTTGATAAGAACAATCTCAAACACTGCTGGTGGGAATATAAAATGGCACAGCTGCTGTGCAAAACAATTTGGCAGCTTCTTCAAAATTTAAAAAATAATGACCATATGATCCAGCAATTCCACTAATAAGAATACATCCAAAAGAATTGAAAGCAGGGACTCAAACAGATACTTGTACACCAGTGCTCACAGCAGCATTATTCACAATAGATAAATGGTGGAAACAACCCCAAAGTCCATCAACAGATGAATGGATAAACAAAAGGTGGTATATACATGCGATGGAATGTCATTCATCCTTAAAAAGGAATGAAGGAATGAAATTCTGATAGATACTGGATGAACCTTGGAAACACTATACTAAGTGAAATAAGCTAGACACCAAGGACAAATATTTTAGGATTCCACTTATATAAGCTACCTAAAATAGGCAAATTCGTAGAAAGTAGAATAGAGATTACCAGGAACCAGGGGTAGGGGTGGGGGAAGTTCCTGTTTAAGGTAATGAAAAAGTTCTGGAAACAAATAGTGATACCTCTCTTTTATAAATCTTGTAACTACTTAGTCACCATATATACACACACATATGTATATATACATACACACACTATATATACACACACACATATCACCACATAATATAGTGTGTGTGTATCACATTAACCCTTGTCTTTACAAATACAACACTCCTGGCTACAATTATTTCAAAGATCTCAAGAGATTTTTAACAAACAATATGACAAAAGCATCTCAATGAGGCTTTGTTGTTCTCCACCAATCAAAGTAAATTTAGTAACTCTTAAGTGTTGGAAGATCTTAAAATTTTCATGTATATTTATCTTTCAATGAGAGAACTATAAATAATTCTTAGCTAAAGACTTACCTTAGTTGTAAGCAACCCAGTTAATATAGAATTGGCCTTTATTCAGTGTGTATTTTACTTATGTTCCAGACATTATGCTGGATACTTAACCTTCATTATCATTAATACGGTGGTTTTAAACTTATACCCTGTAGAATGAGGCCACAGATGTGTTTTACTTGATCCACAAGAGTCAGCATTGGTTAGTACTTTTCAATAAACTATTTTGCCAAATTTCCTGAGAGCTTTTAATTTTTTTTGAGAGCTTTTAATTTTTAAATTTCTACTAAATTCATAGTTTTATTTACTTTTTATTTCCTAAAATCATTTTATCATCTTTCTTATTTTAAATTATTACTTATGTCATTATTACTTCTTTATATATTTTTCAATTACTATTACAAATAAAGCATATACATGTCTTTTGGAAAATATATACAATATTTTCCCTTGGGATATGCTCAAGAGTATAACTGCTGGGCCACAGAGTTATTTCTTTTCCTTGCTGATAATGTATAAGTCCTTTATATACTCTGGACACAAGACTAATATATTGCATTATTTTCTCCCAGCCTGTGGCCTGCTTTTTCCCCTTCTTAAGGGTTTTTTTTTTTTTAAGATTATTTATTTATTTGAGAGAAAGAGCACAAAAGAGTACATACACGCATGGGGGGAGGGGCAGAGGGACAAGTAGTTTCGAGGAGCCTGAGATCATAACCCGAGCTGAAATCAGTTGCTTAACCAAACTACCCAGGCACCCCTGGTATCTTCGAATAAACAGATTTTTTTTTATTCCAGTGGGGTTCTATTATTCATCTTTTAAGGCTAGTATTTCTTTTTTAACTCCAGTACAGTTAATATACAGTGTTATATTAGTTTCAAGTATACAATACAGTGATTCAGCAATTCCATATATTACTCAGTTGCTTATAAAGATAAGTACACTCTTAATTCCCTTTACCTATTTCACCCATCCTCCCACCCACCTCCCCTCTGGTAACCATCTGCTTTTTCTCTATAGATAAGAGTCTGGTTTTTTGGCTTGTCTCTTTTTTCCCCCCTTGTTCACTTGTTTTGTTTCTTAAATTCCACATATGAGTGAAATCATATGGTATTTGTCTTTCTCTGGCTTAGTTTCACTTAGCATTATACTCTCTAGGTCCATCCATGTTGTTGCAAAAGGCAGGATTTCATTCTTTTTCTGGCTGAACAATATTCCATTGTATATATATATATATATATACCACTTCTTCTTTACCCATTCATCTATCAATGGACCCTTGGACTGCTTTAAGAATTTAAATACTGCTGCAATAAACATAAGGGTGCACATGTCCCTTCTATTTTTAATTTTTCTGAGAAACCTCCATACTGTCTTCCACATTGACTGTACCAGTTTGCATTCCCAACAGTGCACAAAGGTTCCCTTTTTTCCACATCCTCACCAACACTTGTTTCTTGTGTTGATTTTAGCCATTCTGACAGGTGTGGGGTGATATTTTATTGTGGTTTTTATTTGCATTTCCCTGATAAGGAGTGATGTTGAGCATCTTTTCATGTGCCTGTTGGCCATCTGTGTGTCTTCTTTGGAGAAATGTCTGTTCATGTCTTCTGCCTATTTGCTTTATTATGGGTTTTTTTGCTGCTGAGTTGTATAGGTTCTTTATATATTTTGGATACTAACCCCTTATCAGATATTTCATTTGCAAAATATTTTCACCCATTCAATAATTGTTTTTTAGTTCTGTTGGCTATTTCCTTTGCTGTGCAGAAGTTTTTTATTTTGATGTAATCCCAGTAGCTTATTTTTGCTTTTGTTTGCCTTGCCTCAAGAGACATATCTAGAAAGATATTGCTATGGCCTATGTCAGAGAAATTACTGCCTATGATCTTTTCTAGGATTTTTATGGTTTCAAGTCTCACATTTAGATCTTTAATCCATTTTGAATCTATTTTTAGGTATGGTTAAGAAAGTAATCTAATTTCATTCTTTTGTATGTACCTGTCCAGTTTTCCTTACATCATTTGTTGAAAAGACTTGTCTTTTTCCCATTGCATATTCTTGCCTCCTTCATTGACCATATAATTGTGGGTTTATTTCTGGACTTTGTATTCTGTTCCATTGATTTGTGTCTATTTTTGTGTCAGTACCATACTGTTTTGATTACTACACCTTTGTAATATAATATGAAATCTGGAATTATGATATCTTCACCTTTTTCTTTTTCAAGATTGCTTTGGCTATTCAGGGTCTTTTGTGGTTCCATACAAATTTGAGGTTTGTTTGTTCTAGCTCTCTGAAAAATGCTGTTGGTATTTGATAGGAATTGCATTAAATCTGTAGATTACTTTGGATAGTATGGACATTTTAACAATACTCGTTCTTCTAATCCATGAACATAGGATATCTTTCCAATTCTTTGCATCATCTTCAATTCTTTTCCTTTTTTTTTTTTTAAAGATTTATTTATTTGACAGAGAGAGACACAGTGAGAGAGGGAACACAAGCAGGGGGAGAGGGAGAAGGAGAAGCAGGCTTCCGACGGAGCAGGGAGCCCGATGCGGGGCTCATGACCCAAGCTGAAGGCAGACGCTTAATGACTGAGCCACCCAGGCACCCCCATCTTCAATTCTTTTCATCAGTGTTCATACATTTCCGAGTATAAGTCTTTCACCATCTTGGTCATGCTTATTCCTAAGTATCTTTTTTTGGTGCACATGCAAATGAGATTTTTAAAATTTCTCTTTCTTCTGCTTCGTTATTAGTGTATAGAAATACAACAGATGTCTGCACACTGATTTTGTATCCTTCAACTTTAGTGAATTCCATCATCAGTTCTCGTAGTTTTTTGGTGGAATTTTTAGGGTTTTATATATATAGTATCATGTCATCTGCAAATAATAAAAGTCTTAACTTCTTCCTTGCTGATCTGGATGCCTTTTACTTATTTTTGTTGTGTGATTGCTGCAGTTAGGACTTCCAATACTATGTTAAATAAGTGGTGAGAGTGGACATCCTTACTTGTTACCGACTTAGGGGAAAAGCTCTCAGTTTTTCCCCACTGAGGATGATGTTCGCTGTGAGTTTTTCATATATGGCCTTTATTAGGTTGAGGCATGTTCCCTCTAAATCTACTCTGTTGAGAGTTTTTATCATGAATGGATGTTGTACTTTGCACCTACTGAAATGATCATATCGTTTTTATCCTTTCTCTTATTGATGTGATATATTACGTGGTTTGATTTGCAAATATTGAACCACCCTTGCATCCCCAGAATAAATCCCACCTGATTGTGATGATTTTTTTAATGTATTCTTAGATTCAGTTTGCTAATATTTTGTTGAGGATTTTTGCATCTATGTTCATCAGAGATATTGGTTCTCTTTTTTTGTACTGTCTTTATCTAGTTTTGGTACTTGGCCTCATAGAATGAATTTGGAGGTTTTCCTTCTTCTATTTTTTGGAAAACTTTGAGAAAAATAGGTATTAATTCTTCTTTAAATGTTTGGTAGAATTCATCTGTAAAACCATCTGGTCCTAGACTTTTGTTTGTTGGGAGTTTTTTGATTACTGATTCAGTATCATTGCTGGTAATTGGTCTGTTCAAATTTTCTGTTTCTTCCTGATTCGGTTTTGGGAGGTTACATGCTTCCAGGAATTTATCTAGGTTTTTCTAGGTTGACAAGTCTGTTGGCATATAATTTCATAACATTCCCTTACAATTCTTTGCATTTCTATGGTGTCGGCTGTTATTTCTCCTCTTTCATCTCTGATTTTTTTTTTATTTTTTTTTTTTGATGAATCTAGCTAGATAAATCTAGAATCGATTTTGTTCATCTTTTCAAAGGACCAGCTTCTGGTTTCACTGATATATACTACTGTTTTTTTAGTTTCTATATTATTTATTTCTGCTCTAATCTTTATTATTTCCTTCCTTTTGCTGGTTTTGAGTTTTGTTTCTTTCTTCTTTTTCTAGCTCCTTTAGGTGTGAGGTTCGGTTGCTTGAGATTTTTCTTGCTTCTTGAGGTAGGTCTGTATTGCTATTAAATTTCTCT